ATAAAGATATAAAGTATTGGGTTAATTACCTAATTTTTAAGATGTTGGAATTTGATTTATAGCATCATTATTTGGCATGTTTTAGTACATAAATTATTTGTCATTATTTTGCATAATTGACCTCAGACCGTGAGAGTGTTAAAATAGCTTGGTTCCATACTTGTACAAGGACTTCGTTTTATTTATCTTCCATTTGGTCCCACATCATCCAATGAATGAAGATTGTAAAAAAAATGGTTTAAATTTTTGGTTATTCAGTTTAAAAGCACATTTATTTAAGGGTTGAATTATTTGTTTAAATCTAAAAATTTGGCTAAATTTTAAGAGAATTTTAATAAAAAATTAAAAATTGTTAGACGAGTTTTGATATAATTTTAAATTCGTTTAAATTTTAAATTAAATCTTAGATAAAAGATTTAAAACTTGACTAGATCCGACTCAAATATATATATATATATGTGAATTATATATAAATTAATTTACATATATAAAGATTAAAAATAAAAATTATATATTTTATTAAACTTAATTTTTATTTTTATATATATGTAAATTAAATATAATCCAATTAAACTTAATTTAATAATACTTTTTTAATTTTGTATTATTATAAATATTAAGTTTAATGGGTAGATTTAAATTTTATTTTTTAATTTAGATAAGATTTGAAAAAATTTTGAAACATGAAATTTTAAACTAAATTGAGTTTGAATAAATATATAAATTATTAATATCAAATATACCATGTAAACTTGATCTAACTCAACTTATAAACACTTTTATTTAAAAATAAAATGAAAAAATATAACACACGAATATTTGAATCAATAATAATATCTTTTTTTGTTTTTTTAGAATAAGTGTATGTATCCTCTTAAAAAATTGAATTTGAATTTAAAAAAAAAATAATGCCAAATGTGAATAATAAAACATGCAATGTTCTATAATAATTACTTATGAAATTTACTAATTCAAGTCCACAAAATTCATCAAGATTAATATAAAACATGTAAGGTTCTATAATACTTATGAAATTTACTAAGAAATTGATTTTATATATATGATGATATTGCATTTTAAGACAATGTAATTACATGTGAACCTTTTTAAGGAATATTTAGTTTCTGTTAATTAAAAAAAAAATGAGAAAAGTATTGTCCATTTTGATAAATTTCAAATTATTGAAATCAATTAAAAAATTTCCTACCTTCTTTCACTATTAATTGCGATTGTAAAAATATATGTTATTTAATTTTAAACTTTTTTTCACATATATAATTATAAAATCATAAATTTATATTCTTTTCATATGTTTCTTTTCTAATAATTGTTGAAATGAGGGAAAAAATGACAGTAAAATATTCTTTAATTTGCTATGTGCTCTTCAACGGTTTAAGGCTTATTTAAAAAAAAAAAAATTTCACTTTGAAGATAAAAAAATTATAAATATTAAAATTTAAATCATAAATTTATTAAATATTAAAAACATATCGAATAAACCAATTAAACTAAATTCAATTTAAAATTTCATTAAAATAATCTATATAAAAAAAAAAAAAAGCTCTATTGCATCGTCGTATCATTTTGAAACTGATCCAAACCAACGTGATGATAACATGGAAATACGTTTCCACTTTACCATTGAAATGAAAGCATAAATTTAATCCTAATTCCCGAACTATCCGGGCCAGACAGATAAAAGACTTCAGGAAGAACAGGAGCCAGGGTCGCAGGTGTAAGAGCATGGCGACAATTGCATGGGAATGCATGTTCTCCGTTGTCAGTATATCACTGACGCTACCTAATTGTTCCAACACATAAAATCACAAATGCCCGACACCATTGAAGCCCCTTTGTCCATTCGATTTAACCCACACCTTTGTCTTTTCCCTTCCCGATTAGGTGCTTGTCCTGCTTTTGCTTTTTCTTCTTCTTCCTCCTATTCTTTCAAAATTTTATAGTATTTATTTTATAATATTACCTTGTAATATTAAAAGTAAAATTAATTTTAATTCTGACTTGACAAGTAAATTTATAAGATTGTTATAAATACGACAATTCATATTATCGTATCTTATAAAATATTATATTTATATTATATTTTATATGATCGACAATTCGTAAGAGTAATAAACTATTGTGGGCACTACTTTATTTTAAACAATTTGAGTTGAGATCTTGCCTTTTACAATGGATTATTCAAAGTGTGTTAATTATTTACTTATTATAGACTTAATAGCCATTTTTTTATCATTATATTTATATATATATTTTAAAATTCTTATCCATATATTTACTTGGCTCAAAAAAATATTATGGATATAAACTTTTTAAAACCTTTAATATGATTTTAATAAAATTTAATACAATTTCGGTTACTCTATATACAAATTTGATAACCACTAAAATTGGTTGATATCTTCTAAACTCAATAGCTTGGATTTTTGTTCTATCTATTTTTATTCTATATTCGACTGGAAGAAAAATGTTGGACATTTTGGGCCCAGCAGCAACTGCTTTGGCCCAATCCCTCTGAAATTTCTATAATGGTATGAATCATTGCAAGTAAGCCTAGTTTTCTGTAAGAAATGAATGGTAAGGAGGGTGGGCCAAGTATAGAAGAGAACTAAGCTCATTGGATAGCTATTCCCCGCAATAGTCCATTCCAAACTACTTGGATAATGTTGCAGAGAGGTTGTCTAAGTGGTTGTAGTACGGATATTCATAGCTAGGATAAAGTGGATGGTGTATTTTTAATTATTATATTTATTTTTGTATTTATGGGTATTTTAAATTTATTTTCATCTCATACTCATAAATATTTAATAGGTATGGATAATTTTTGTATCATATTTTTTTCAAATAATAAAAATAAAATTATTTAATTTTTATCTTATATATTTATGTAATTTTTTATAAATATATATTTTAAAATAAAAATCATTAGTTTTAATTAATCTAAAATAAAAATTATATTATTAAATAAAATTTATTTACTAAACATATAGAAATATATAAGGCATAGGTATGAATAGTGGCAAATATTATATTATCCACCTAGATACTCATATTCGATAAAAAATTTAAAATTATATTTATTTTCATCATCATCTTTAAAATTTAGTATCTATCTTTATACTCATTCAGATAAAAAATTAAATTTTTTATCAGGTTTTAAGTAAAATTAATATCTCTAATTTTAATTGGTAAATATTGAATACTTCACTTATATGATTTAAATTCGAGTTTTGTTGCAACAATCTCTTTTAATGAACGATTTGTAAATTTAATATAAAATTTTTTTAATATCTGTCATTTACCCTAAATTTTTATGTAAAATAAATAAATAATTTGCAAATCCCATATTTCCTTGGGAGTTTAGATGCAATCAGCAATCCCATTTGGGGCCATTTCCCTTTTTTTTTGACAAAGTTAACTTAATATGGTATGGAGATTTTGTTTTCAGGTGAAAGTAGAAGAAATCAAGAAATAGGTAGAGTTGCATTTAGAAATGGTCAAGTAAAATTTATATTTGGAAATAAAATTGATAATTACTAAAATTATAATATGCATACTTAGCTGATTTTTGTTTTCTATATAGATAATACAATACTGCAACTTTTGGCTAAAAAAAGACAATCAGGTCAACATTATATACAAGTATCAAATGACTTTTTGAGAATTAAATAATAAATATGTATAAGAATGCATATAATTAATGAAATTGCTTAGTGAATGTGTAGTTTAAACCGAACAAAACTTGAATAAATTTTTTAAATAGAGTTAGTGAAATTTTTTTTATTAAAAACAATAATATAAAAATTAAAATCTAAAGGTCAAATTATTAAATTAAAAGATCTTGTTATTTAAATTATGTACAAATTTTAAAAAATTTTAAATAAAATTTAATCTATATTTTATAAAATTTTAATAAAAAAGGTTGACAGAGTTTTCACAATAATAATAAAAAAATTCTCACCAACCATAACTTGAATTGTGACTGCTTTAAAAATATTTCGTTGGTAATTCTCTTCAAATCTAAGTATCCAAAAAAGAAAAAGGTGCGTTAGCCATTAAGAGTATAAATGATATATTAATACTCATAAATTATTTTAATTTGACTCAAATAAAATTTAAATTCGATTTGATTATTATCAAGTTAAACTCAAACTTGAGTAACTTGACTTATTAATTGAGTTGGATTCGAATATTTTTATATTCAACTCGAATAAATCACAAGTTTAATCGAGCTTTGATATTTTAATATATTTTTATTATTTTAATTAATAAAATATATCGAATTCAAACTCGAGCTCGAATATAAATAATCGAGATTTTATTAAATATAAGAATCGAATTTATTTTTATATATTAATTAAACATAATCAAACGAATTCGATTTCAATCTTGAATCAAATTTAAATTAAAAAAATAAAACTTAAATCAAATTTAAATCAAAATTTAAACTTTAAATTTTAAATTAAATTTAATATTATATCAATTCTAACTCAATCAATTACATTTCTATTAACCATGGTCTCTGTGTCCCTCCCCTTATTAATTTCCCAAAAGAATATTGTAATTTCAAAAAGTTGTCTTATTTCCAACAAAATGGTATAAAAGTCAATGGCAAGAAGTGACATTGAGAAGCCGATTGTAGCTGTGGCCTGCCTATGGTAGATGGTAAATGGGTTGAAACTTGACAGGATTAGCCGAAGCCAACCATACAAAAACCGAACCACCCCAAACCCTAAACATGCATCATTCATTCATAGAGTCAAACAATAGTTTGGAAAATTTTAGTGGACACATCCCCATGCGATGCCATGCCATGCCATGCCTTGGGGCTAAACGAAAAAATTCCCAAATGTGGACCCTCACCAATAAACACAGTCCATTAAAATTCGGTGGGCTACGGTCTCCACGCTCAACACGTTTCTTCACTTACCCCAAAAAAAAAATTTGGGTTGGGTGGGCTGGCTTTGTGGTCCGTTACGTCGATCGATCAGAATCATGGTTAGTTTTTCGGCGTGCGAAGATGAACCAATAAAGGAACGGAAAATTTTCTTTCCCAAGTTGTGGTATTAGAAGCGGAAGGGAATTGGAGTAATGGACCTTCCCACGCTACTCCCAAAAGTCCAACACCTACAATTCCCTTTTTTTTTTTTTTTAATAATCTCTCAAAGTTTGACCCCTTATTACCCTTATCCCCAAAACCAACAGTCCTATCCCAACAGCTGCCCCTTTCTCCTTTCAGGTCCAATTAGCCCTTTCGGGTCTGTTCTAAGCCCAAATCCTCCTTCCATCTTCTCTCTTCTGCTCTGCTCTCCTTCCTTCCCCTTTCTCTCTCCTCTTTCTTCCTGCAAAACCCTAGATCTCTCAGCCTTCCACGTCGCTTTCCGGGCTTCAAATCTGCTGCCAGATCCCTTCTCTTTCGGTTTTTGACCGGTAAAGAAAAATTACCCTTACCTAATTTTTGAGTTTCTTTGTTTGACTCTAATTTTGTTGTTTTTCGCTTTTTTTTTTTTTAATGCTTGCTTTCTTATTCGTTGTTAGTTTGATTTTGGGGTTTGATTTTTTAAGGTTTCATGTTTCAGTGTTATGAGAATTACGATGGTTGCTTTTGATTATATTGACAAACACGAGAGATTGGTGGTGTTATTTTTGTTGTCTTTATAGTTATGGAAGTTGAAGAGTTCGTTTTTATATTTCTTAGGTTGGTTTGCTGTTTTGCCTTGTTTATATGGCTTCCGTTTCGTGTTTTAGGCTTCGATGGGTTTGTCCCTTCAGTTTTGATGATCTGGGTGTGCAGTAGATCTCTCAATTCCTGTTTTTTCTTTGATGGGTTTTTGCTTTGGTTGTTGATCTGGGCAAACATGGGTTTCTATTTTTCTTCTTTTTGATCTGGGCAGATGATTTAGATTTAGATTTTGAGTTTGATCTTGAAATTCGGTTGGGTTTCAGTTTTTCTTCATCTGGGCTTTCTCTTTCTGTTTATTTTAATCTTTTTTGAAACCCTAGATCTAGTGTTCTTTTTCATTGTAAACCTTCTCAGATGTTACCAGTCAAAGCCCATTAGATGTACAATTCCTATTTTAGCCCTGTCCTTAAGGTGGGCCCATGTGACTCGTATCTGTCATGTGATGTTCGCTGTTGTCATATAATTTGGTTTTGGGTTGGACCCACCGGATTGGTGACCCAGGCCCAATTATTCCTTGACCCAGGCGCAACTAATGTTTATTCCTCGTCTCTTCATATCTGAAAGAAACGAGGGAGAGAAGTGAAAAAACTCGTGACAATATTTCTTAAATGTAATTTAACCCACGAGCCAATCGAAGTGAGTTCTAAATGTTCAAATGCAAATTTAAAGATAATGCATTGATTGTTAACTTAATAACATCTTACGTGCCAGACTAAGTTGAAACCGTCTATTGTCTTCATAACTGACAGAACACATCCTCCTAAAGACAACCATTCTCGTGATTTCACGCACTATGATTAAAATACGTTGTTCAATATTCAAAGACGTTGGATAAATTTTTTTTTTTGCATATGTTAGAATAAGGGGTTGCTGATGGTAAAGTAATTATTGGATTCTTTTATTCTTTTCTTCCCAATTGAAGCAGCTCTTATTTGTAATCCCGGATTGCCAGCACATTGGATATACGTAGTATAGCATGCCATGCACCATCTTACGTAATGGTAAAATGTTATAGTTCAGTAAGAGTACTGTTTTACACCAACTATACCTGTAGCACGCTGTGTAATTTGTTACCCTTAAAACAAAGAGGTCATATCTAACAGCCTTGACTCAAATCCAGACTGTTTTGCGGTTTAAAGTTAGAAACAAATTAAGGCTTCTTTTCTTTTCTCTAGAACCTGTTCATATATAGTAAGCCACTATGTAATGATGCATCTCAAAGCTGAGAAGATTCTGTTTCGAATGCGCTTTATGCATCCTCTCTCTCTCTCTATATATATATGTGTGTGTGTGTGTGTGTGTGTGTCTAAACTCATGGCTTACTTTGGCAAAACCTCATCATTTCCTGTATTTCTATCATCCAAGTTATTTTAGCCTTAATGGTACTTGGAACTACGCTTTTTTTATGTTATACATACATATTTTCAATTCTTTTTTAAAGTTTATTTTGCTGTCGGCAGCAGGTTTACATCTAGACAGAAATGGCAGAAATGACAGAAATGGAAACAACCCCTGTGGAAAATAACAATGAGCTGGCCCTGATCACTCCTGAAACACAGCCTAACAAGCGAAGGAAAAAGAAGTCCATGGTTTGGGAGTACTTTACCATTGAAACTGTGAGTGCTGGATGTAGAAGAGCATGCTGTAAGCGTTGCAAGCAAAGTTTTGCTTATAGCACTGGTTCCAAGGTAGCAGGGACCAGCCACCTCAAACGTCACATAGCCAAAGGAACCTGTCCAGCACTCTTACGCGACCAAGATAACAATCAATTGACCCCATATAACCCAAGAACGGGTGGAAGTGAACCACCAAAGCGACGCTACAGATCCCCTAGTTCACCTTACATTCCATTTGATCAGGACCGTTGCCGCCATGAAATTGCAAGAATGATAATCATGCACGATTACCCTCTTCACATGGTTGAGCATCCTGGGTTCATAGCTTTTGTTCAGAATCTTCAGCCTCGGTTTGATAAAGTGAGTTTCAACACTCTTCAAGGGGATTGTGTTGCAACTTACTTGAGAGAAAAGCAAAGTGTCATGAAGTTTATTGAGGGTATTCCTGGACGCTTTTGTCTTACACTGGACATGTGGACTTCAAATCAAACCCTGGGTTATGTGTTTATAACTGGACAGTTCATTGATAGTGACTGGAAGTTGCATAGACGGGTTTTCAATGTCATAATGGAGCCATATCCGGATTCTGATTCTGCTCTAAGTCATGCTGTTGCTGCTTGCCTGTCAGACTGGAGTTTGGAAGGCAAGTTATTTTCCCTTACCTTCAATCATCCACAAAGTGAAGCTGGGCTGGAAAATCTTAGGCCTTTACTCTGCATTAAGAATCCGCTTGTTCTTAACGGTCAGCTATTACTCGGAAATTGCATAGCTCGTACTTTGAGCTGCATGGCAAAGGATGTGCTCGGAGCAGGGCAAGAAATCATCAAGAAAATCCGTGATAGTGTGAAGTATGTGAAGACATCAGAATCCCATGATGATAAGTTTGTTCAAGTTAAAAACCAACTTCAAGTGCCAAGTGAAAAGAGCCTATTTCTCGATAATCAAACTCAATGGAACACAACATACCAAATGCTTGCAGCTGCTTCTGAATTGAAGGAAGTGTTTAATTGTTTGGATACTTCTGATCCAGATTATAAGCTAGCCCCGTCAATGGAAGACTGGAATCTAGCTGAGACTTTATGCACTTTCTTGAAACCTCTATTTGATGCAGCCAGCATGCTTACAATTACAACTAACCCTACTGCAATTACATTCTTTCATGAAGCTTGGAAAATACATGCAGACTTAGGCCGTTCAATCACTAATGAGGATCCCTTCATCAGCAATCTTGCTAAGTCAATGCAAGAGAAGATTGATAAATACTGGAAGGATTGTAGCCTGGTTTTGGCAATTGCAGTGGTCATGGATCCTCGATTCAAAATGAAACTTGTTGAGTTCAGTTTCACAAAAATATACGGTGAAGATGCTCCCACATATATCAAAACTGTTGATGATGGAATTCATGAGCTATTTCTTGAATATGTGGCACTTCCACTGCCTTTGACACCGACTTATGCAGATGAAGGAAATGCTGGAAACAATTTTAAGACTGACGAATCTCATCAAGGAAATCTTCTTTCAGAACATGGACTTACAGATTTTGATGCCTACATTATGGAGACTACTAGCCAGCAGATGAAGTCTGAGCTGGATCAGTACTTGGAAGAGTCCTTGTTGCCTCGTGTCCAAGATTTTGATGTCTTAGGTTGGTGGAAACTGCACAAGATGAAGTATCCAACTCTTTCAAAGATGGCTCGTGACTTTTTGTCAATTCCAGTATTTGCTGCTGCTCCTGACTCAGTCTTTGATATCATAGACAAGCAACTAGATGAGTATCGTTGCTCCCTGCGACCAGAGACTGTGGAAGCCCTAATATGCGCCAAGGACTGGCTTCATTATGGATCTGAAGTTTCAAATGCACTAGTTAAAATGGAATTTTAGGTGATCGTCTTACTTCCATCAGAGTATCATGTTTATGATGGTAGGTTGCCCTATTGGACATATTTAGTTTTCAATTTCACTGTTAGGCTTCTATTTTGTACAATTAGAAAGAATTGTATGGATACTTGGACATGAAAAATTGCTAGAGTAGTTTTTCCTATTGCATGCTTCTTTGAATGTTGTACAGGCCACAGGTCACCAAAACGCCCCAACACCAACCAAGTAGGCTTCTGACAGGGTTAGACTTCTGATTAGTCTTATGATCCTGTTGATCTGTTTGGTTGACTGGATATCAATCTCTGTAGGGAGCTGCAGGCTATGCTTTCTTTTGCCTGTTAAATCATTAATGATTCTCAATATTTTCTGGATGTGCAGTGCATATTTGCATTTTGCTCCGAACCGCTATAACAACAGCACAATTTGAAGTGATTTTGACTAGCATCTTCGGGTTCAGTTGTTTTTAATTCTATCAGTATATCAATCAGGATGGCATTAAACTGAATGATATGCAATCTGTATAACCATGGAATTTTGATTTTTGAGTTGCTATGTCATCACCAATTCACGAATTCATACCAAGCTAAGCAACCCACTAGCACTAACTCTCATTTTCTCTCTCTAAACCGTGAACCATAATCATACCTGCCTCTCTCTATCTCACTCGCCCACCTCCGGTGAGCTCGCCGCTGGCCTTATTCAAGCACACCAGGCATAAGCCATAAATATTTCTCTTTTCTGTCTCCCGCTCGTCCCTCTGTTTAAATTCTCTCTCTCTGCAACTAAGATTTACTCTTTTATTTTCAACCAAATTAGCCGGATGATTATTAAACGCGAGTGTTAGCTAAAGAGCAACGGAGGGTAAAAGCTGAAGATGGATTTGCCTCTGTTCAAGCAAGACATTGAGAGCTTATTCATGAGTTTGTTCAGGTTCTTTCCTTTTTTTTTTCCCTTTCTCAAATTTATCACAATTTTGGTTCTGGGTGTTACTTTTAAACTTTTAAGAATAATTGTTTGATTTCCAATTGACAGAGTGAAACATATACTTTGGAGGATATGAAGAGAGTATGGTTATGGAGGAAATTCTCATACATTTCTGAGGCCAGTCCTACGAACTTAGCTTTCTCTATGCAATCAGTGTATGCCCATACTATTGGTATGTCAAAGTCTTGCTACTTTCTTTTTGGTTCCAAAAACAGCAAAAAATAGTTGCCTTCTGATTTTTTTTTTCATGCATGAACTTTTTCCTCAGCTATCCTATACTCTTATGCAGATCATCTGGACAATGCTGATTCTTTATCCTGCAGACTAGGAAGGCTCTATTGCCTCTACTGCCCCTATGAAACTCAACCATTCAAACCTCCTTTTAGGATTTATCTCTCGCTTGGTATGTGTCCTCATTTTTCTTTAAATCATTTCCAATGAATGGTATTTATGGTGATAGTTCTATTCAAAAACATGGTTCATTATAACAAGTAATGATAAGAATGCTAAAATTATTTGTTGATTAGGCATCCCCTGTGTAGCTTACATTATATTTGTTTTTTTTTTCCTTTTCCTTTTTCTTCATTTTTTTTTTCTTTTTGGCTTACAGTGGAATCCTAAACTGACAGGAGAGCTGAAGAAACTTAAAAGCCTTGTTACCGAGGCAAAAGAAATGGGTATAAAAGTAGTGCCTACTTTGGTGAAAAGGATGCTAGAAAAAAGTTTGTTTCTGTTTGGGTTCGTGGACTTAAAAGAAATGAAGGCTCGGTTAGAGAGACAATTAACAGTCTGACAAAATTACAAGATGTGCGTATACAATTTGATTACGAAAAGTATGTTTTTGTTTTATTTTGTCTTTGCTGGTTTCATTTTGACTAACAGGTTATTTACTGATGCCGCTATCGAGCGATACTCGACATTCGACATGAACTTAGTAAGTTATTCAACTCATGAGATAAATTTATGAGTGGAAGCATATGGCACCTTTGAGGCAGATGACAGTGTTCCTATACACTGCAATGACTGCTATTAGGTAGAACACAATACAACATATGATCCTCCCAATTGTAAGTGGTGCTGAGAATGTTGTTTATCATTAAAGCTGAGACGGTTCTTCTGAACTGGTTGCGATCCATGAATGCTGTAGAAAACATTTGTGCGTGAAGTTCAGATCTGTATGTTTAATTTTGTTTTGTCTAATGGATAGGCCGAGAGTTTCACTCGCACGCTCTCAATCTATAACAATAGTTTTAGGATGTATGCAATGGGTACCATGAATTTCCTCTTACGATCCTTATTAAATGAGTTGAAACTTGATAGGATTAGCGAAAGCCAACCATACAAAATTCAAACCACCCCAAACCCTAAACATGCATCATTCATTCATAGAGTCAAATAATGGTTTGGAAAATTTTAGTGGACACATCCCCATGCTATGCCATGCCATGCCATGCCATTGGGCTAAACGAAAAAAATTCCCCAAATGTGGACCCTCACCAATAAACACAGTCCATTAACATTCGGTGGGCTACTGGTCTCCACGCTCTACACTTTTTACTTACCCTAAAAAAAAAAAAAAATAGGTTGGGCGGTTGGGGTTGGGGTGGGGTGGCTGGGGTTGGGGTTGGGGTTCGGTGGGCTGGCTTTATGGTCCGTTTCGTCGATAAATCAGAATAATGGTTTGTTTTTTTGGCGTGCGAGCCGAAAAGTCCAACACCTGAAAATCCCTTTTTCTTCTTTAATTATAATCAAGTCTGACCCCATATTACCCTTATCCCCAAAACCAAAAGTCCCATCCCAACAGCTACCCCTTTCTCCTTTCAGGTCCAATTAGCCCTTTCGGGTCTCTCCTAAGCCCAAATCCTCCTTCCCTCTCCTCTGCTCTCCTCCCTTCCCCTTTCTCTCTCCTCTTTCTTCCTGCAAAACCCTAGATCTCTCAGCCTTTCACGTCGCTTTCGGGGCTTCAAATCCGCTGCCGGATCCCTTCTCTTTCGGTTTTTACCGGTAATAAAAATTACCCTTACCTAATTTTTCAGTTTCTTTTTTTGACTTTAATTTTGTTGTTTTTCCCTTCTTTTTCTTTTTTAATGTTTGCTTTCTTATTCATTGTTAATTTGATTATGGGGTTTGATTTTTAAGGTTTCATGTTCAGTGTTATGAGAATTACGATGGTTGCTTTTGATTATATTGACAAACTCGAGAAATTGGTGTTGTTATTTTTGTTGTCTTTATAGTTATTGAAGTTGAAGAGTTCGTTTTTATAGTTTGTTGGTTTGCTCTTTTGCCTCGTTTATATGGCTTCCGTTTCGAGTTTCAGGCTCTCATGGGTTTGTCCCTTTTCAGTTTTGATGATCTGGTTGTGCAGTAGACTTATCAATTCCAGTTTTCTCTGTATGTTAATGGGTTTTTGCTTCGGTTGTTGATCTGGGCAAACATGGGTTTTCTCTTTTTCTTATTTTTGATCTGGGCAGATGATTCAGATTTAGATTTTGAGTTTGATCTTGAAATTCAATTGGGTTTCAGGGTTTTCTTGATCTGGGCTTTCTCTTTTTGTTTATTTGAATTCTTTTGCAACCCTAGGTCTAGTTTTTTTTTTTTTTTATTCTAACCCTTGTCAGGTGTTACCAGTGAAAAGCCCATCAGATGTAAAATGCCTAATTTAGCCCTGGTCCTTAAGGTGGACCCATTTGACTTCTATCTAGTCCTGTGATATTAGTTGTTGTCATATGATTCGGTTTTGGGATGGACCCACCGGATTGATGACCCAGGCCCAGTTATCCCTTGACCCAGGCACAACTAATGTTTATTCCTTGACCCAGTCACCTTTCTCTCCATATCCAAAAGAGGGAGCTAAGCGAAATAAAAACAAACTCATGACAATATTTCTTAGATGTAATTTATCCCACGAGCCAATCGATACATTAAAAAAAAAAGAAAAGAAAGTGAATTCTAAATGTTCAAATGCAAATTTAAAGATAATACATTGATTGTTAACTTAATTACATCAAACGTGTCAGGCATTCTAAGTTGAAACTGTCTAATGTCTTCTCTTTAGCACTGACAGAACACATCATAACGACAACTATTCTCGTGATTTCAAGCAATTTTATTAAAATATGTTATTAAATATTCAAAGACGTAGGATAAAATTTTTGTTGCATATGTTAGAATAAGGTGTTGGTGATGGTAAAGTAACAGTTGGATTCTTCTATTCTCTTCTTCCCAATTGAAGCAGCTCTTATTTGTAATCCTGGATTGCCAGCGCATTGGATATACGTAGTATAGCAGGACCATCTTATGTAATGGTAAAATGTTACAGTTCCGAAAGAGTACTGTTTTCCACCAACTATACCTGTAGCACGCGTTGGAATTTATTACCCTTACAACAAAGAGGTCATATCCAACAGCCTTGACTCAAATCCCGACTGTTTTTGGAGTTTAAAGTTGAAATGAATTAAGGCTTCTTTTCTTTTCTCTAGACCTCTTGCTATTTAGTAAGCCACTATGTAATGATGTATCTCAAAGTTGAGAAGATTCTGTTTGTAATGAGCTTTTTAGATCCTCTCTCTCTCTCTCTCTCTCTCTGTGTGTGTGTGTGTGAAAACTCGTGGATTACTTTGGCAAAACCTCATCGTTTCCTGTATTTTCAATCAACCAAGTTATTTTAGCCTTAATGGTACTTGGAACTACTCTTTATTTATGTTCTATATACATTTTTTGAATTCTTTTTAAAAGTTTCTTTCGCTGTTAGCAGCAGGGTTTACTTCTAGACAGAAATGGCAGAAATGACAGAAATGGAAACAACCCCTGTGGAAAATAACAATGAGCTGGCCCTGATCACTTCTGAAGCACAGCCCAACAAGCGAAGGAAAAAGAAGTCCATGGTTTGGGAGTATTTTACCATTGAAACTGTAAGTGCTGGATGTAGAAGAGCATGCTGTAAGCGTTGCAAGCAAAGTTTTGCTTATAGTACTGGTTCCAAGGTAGCAGGGACCAGCCACCTCAAACGTCACATAGCCAAAGGAACCTGTCCAGCACTCTTACGCGACCAAGATAACAATCAATTGACCCCATATAACTCAAGAATGGGTGGAAGTGAACCACCAAAGCGACGCTACAGATCCCCTAGTTCACCTTACATTCCATTTGATCTGGACCGTTGCCGCCATGAAATTGCAAGAATGATAATCATGCACGATTACCCTCTTCACATGGTTGAGCATCCTGGGTTCATAGCATTTGTTCAGAATCTTCAGCCTCGGTTTGACAAGGTGAGTTTCAACACTCTTCAAGGGGATTGTGTTGCAACTTACTTGAGAGAAAAGCAAAGTGTCATGAAGTTTATTGAGGGTGTTCCTGGACGCTTTTGTCTTACACTGGACATGTGGACTTCAAATCAAACCCTGGGTTACGTGTTTATAACTGGACAATTCATTGATAGTGACTGGAAGTTGCATAGACGGGTTCTCAATGTCATAATGGAACCATATCCGGATTCTGATTCTGCTCTATGTCATGCTGTTGCTGCTTGCCTGTCAGACTGGAGTTTGGAAGGCAAGTTATTTTCCCTCACCTTCAATCATCCACAAAGTGAAGCTGGGCTGGAAAATCTTAGGCCTTTACTCTGCATTAAGAATCCGCTTGTTCTTAACGGTCAGCTGTTACTCGGAAATTGCATAGCTCGTACTTTGAGTAGCATGGCAAAGGATGTGCTCGGAGCAGGGCAAGAGATCATCAAGAAAATCCGTGATAGTGTGAAGTATGTGAAGACATCAGAATCCCATAATGATAAGTTTGTTCAAGTTAAAAACCAGCTTCAAGTGCCAAGTGAAAAGAGCCTATTTCTTGATAATCAAACTCAATGGAACACAACATACCAAATGCTTGCAGCTGCTTCTGAATTGAAGGAAGTGTTTAATTGTTTGGATACTTCTGATCCAGATTATAAGCTAGCCCTGTTAATGGAAGACTGGAAGCTAGCTGAGACTTTATGCAACTTCTTGAAGCCTCTCTTTGATGCAGCCAGCATGCTTACAACTACAACTAACCCTACCACAATTACATTCTTTCATGAAGCGTGGAAAATACATGCAGACTTGTGCCGTTTGATCACTAGTGAGGATCCCTTCATCAGCAATCTCGCTAAGTCAATGCAAGAAAAGATTGATAAATACTGGAAGGATTGTAGCCTGGTTTTGGCAATTGCAGTAGTCATGGATCCTCGATTCAAAATGAAACTTGTTGAGTTCAGTTTCACAAAGATATACGGTGAAGATGCTCCCACATATATCAAAATTGTTGATGATGGAATTCACGAGCTATTTCTTGAATATGTGGCACTTCCATTGCCTTTGACACCAACTTATGCAGATGAAGGAAATGCTGGAAACAACGCAAAGACTGACGAATCTCATCGAGGAAATCTTCTTTCAGACCATGGACTTACAGATTTTGATGTCTACATTATGGAGACTACTAGCCAGCAGATGAAGTCTGAGTTGGATCAGTACTTGGAAGAGTCCTTGTTGCCTCGTACCCAAGAGTTTGACGTCTTAGGTTGGTGGAAGCTGAACAAGATGAAGTATCCAACTCTTTCAAAGATGGCTCGTGACTTTTTGTCAATTCCGGTATCTGCTGCTGCTCCTGACTCAGTCTTTGATATCGTAGACAAACAACTAGATGAGTATCGTTGCTTCCTGCGACCAGAGACAGTGGAAGCCCTAATATGTGCCAAGGACTGGCTTCATTATGGATCTGAAGTTTCACATGCACTTGTTAAAATGGAATTTTAGATGCATGTCTTACTTTCATCACAGTATCATGTTTATGATGGTAGGTTGCTGTATTGGACATATTTAGTATTGAATTTCACTGTTAGGCTTCTCTTTTGTACAATTAGAAAGAACCGTATGGATGCTTGGACATTAAAAACCTAATTGCTAGAGTAGTTTTTCCTATTGTGTGCTTCTTTGAATGTTGTACAGGCCACAGGTCACCAAAAGCCCCAACAACAACCAGCAGGGTTAGACTAATGACTAGTCTAAAAATCCCGTAGATCTATTTGGTTGCATGGATATCAATCTCTGTAGGGAGCTGCAAAAAATCCTGTCTTTTGCCTGTTATTCATTAATAATTCTCAATATTTTATGGATGTGCAGTGCATATTTGCATTTCGCTCTGAGCCGCCATAACAACAGCACAATTTGAAGTGATTGTGACTAGCGTCTTCGGGTTCAGTTGTTCTCAATTCTCGTCAAGTATGAGCTCAGTATATCAATCAAGATAGCATGAAACTGAATGAAATGCAATCTATTTCATGCTATCTGTATAACCATGGAATTGTGATTTTTGAGTTGCTTTGTTAGTACCAATTCATGAATTCATACCAAGACTTTGCCAAATGCCATCCATTGCCATTTGTTGATTATCTAACCATTGGGTCAAAGTTGTTAGATCCAAAACCTGGCATGTCCCCTTCTTCTGTCGTCATAACTGCTTCTCTCTATCTCACTGTCCCGCCTCCGCCCTTACTCATGCACACCTGGCGTAGCCCATAAATATTTCTCTCTTCTTTATTTGTCTCGTCCCTCTCTTTAAATTCTGTCACTCTGCCACTAAAATTTACTCTTTTATTTTCAACCAGATTCGCCGGATGAATATTAAACACGAGGGTTAGCTAAAGAGCAACGGAGGGTAAAAGCCGAAGATGGAATTGTCTCCATTCATGCAAGACATTGACGAGCCTATTCATGAGTTTGTTCAGGTTCTTTTTTTTTTTTTTTTTTCTCAATTTTATCACAATTTGGGTAGAATAATTGTCTGATTTCCAATTGACAGAGTGAATCAATAACTTTGAATGATATGAAGAGAGTATGGTTATGGAGGAAATTCTCATACATTTATGAGGCCAGTCCTTACTACGAACTTAGCTTTCTTTATGCAATCACTCTATGCCCATACCATTGGCATGTCAAAGTCTTGCTGCTTTCATTTTGGTTCCAAAAACAGCAAAATATAGTTTCCTTTTGATTTTTTTTTCATGCATGATCTTTTTCCTTAGCTATCCTATACTCTTATGCAGGTCATGTGGTCAATGCTGATTCTTTATCCTGCACACTAGGAGGGCTCTATTGCCTCTACTGCCTCTATGAAACTCAACCTTTCAAACCTCCTTTTAGGATTTATCTTTTGCTTGGTGTGTTTCCTCATTTTTCTTTAAATCATTTCCAATAAATTGTATTTATGGTGATAGTTATACTCAAAATCAAGGTTCATTATAACAAGTAATGATAAGAATGCTAAAATTATCCGTTGACCAGGCATCCCCTGTTTAACTTACTTTATGTTTGTTATTTTTTCCTTTTCCTTCATCTTCGTTTTGTTCTTTTTGACTTACTATGAAATCCTAAACTGACAGGAAAGCTGAAGAAACTTAAAAGCCTTGTTGCTGAGGCAAAAGAAATGGGTATAAAAGTTGTGCCTACTTTGGTGAAAAGGTTGCTGGAAAAAAGTATGTTTCTGTTTGGGAGGTTCAGATATCTATCTTTTAAATGAGGGCTCGGTTAGTGAAACAATTAACAGTCTGACAAAATTACAAGATGTGCGTATACAAGTTGCATATGAGAAGTAGGTTCAGATATCTATCTTGTACTATTGCATATGAAAAGAATGTTTTTGTTTTATTACGTCTTTGCCGGTTTCATTTTGACTAACAGGTTATTTACTGATACTGCTATCGAGCAATACCACCACATGGACTTGGTAAGTTATTCAACTCATGAGATAAATTTATGAGAGGAAGCATATGGCACCTTTAAGGCAGATGTTAGTGTTCCTATATGCTGCAGTGACTGCTAGTAGGTGGGACACAATACAACATATGATGTGGTGCTAAGAACGTTGTTTTTCATTAAAGCTGAGACCAGTTCTTCCGAAATGGTTGCGATCCATGAATACTGCAGAAAGCATTTGTGCATAAAGTACGGATCTGTATGTTTAATTTTGTCTTGTCTAATGGATAGGCTGATAGTTTCACTTGCACGCTCTCAAACTATAGATAACAATAGTTTAGGGTGTATGCAATGGGTACCATTAATTTCCTATTGTAATCCTTATTGAATTAGTTTTTGGTTTAAACTACTTCTGATTATGTGATATCTGCTCTTACTGCTTATTGAACAAGGGTATGGAGGTTGACCTCAATATGCTAAAGAAAATGTCCACAGAATATGCAGTGGCCAAGAAACAAGCCATTGAACGTACATCTTATGCTCTTTTTCTGGCACTTTATCAATCTTTACAATAGGCCTAAACATGACTATATGTTTTTGAACTGACTACTCTTAATATCGGGATGTGGTGTTATGCTTATCATTTTGGAACCTGGATTGAAGTGCTTTTGACCTCGACGATGCCCTTAGTAAATGAGCATATTTATGTAGGTAACGTTAAGCTGCTTCTTTTGGTATTTTATATGTTATGTTGTATGTGTCATTTACAATTACCTTTTCCCATAATTCATAAACCTATATTGATGAATCTCATGAAGTCTATGATTATTTTCCAAATGATAATAATAATGAATGTAAATGGCAATATAATTGATCTCAAAAATTATTCTGAAAGTGGTAAGACATTCATGTCCTTGGTCATCATTTCATCTTATAGGTAAATTATTTCTCCATGAATATCCATAACTTTTTGTTTTCCTTCGCTGCTGTCTTAATATCCCATTTTCCCTTTGTAGTGCCAAATTACTCACTGAAACTGTTCTACTATGTGGCTTGTGTAGCAAGTTTTCCTGTTTGTCTGGTTTAAACTGTTCATGATTTCTTTTCTTATTCTGTTTTCAATTTAATCTGTTATTAAAGAGGCCGGTGAGGTGCTGGATGTTCAGAACATAGAGCATATATCGGAAAATAAAGAATCTCATAATGAAATAATTGAGAAGATAGATGAGAACTTGAACAAGCAAAGAGAAGTGTTTTATCAACGGACAGGATTGAACCAGCAGCCTGCTGAAGAGGAGCAACCAAGGCAGTTACAACTGCAAGAAAATGAGCAGGAAAACAATGTTGCTGATGAGTTCTTTCATCTACTTTATCAAAATGAGTGAATTGTTTCTTTAAGAATTCATCTTAATGAAGGGCGCCTTCTCCTGATTTTTATCCAACTAATAGTGTCAATGATGGTTTTGGGTTTGGTAGCATTTGTTATTATAGGAATAGGCATCTGAATTTGAAGACATGAGAAATGTTCCTTAAGAAAATGTTTAATGAAATTTCAACTGCCATTACTTTTGACTTCGATTTAATATTCAACAGTCTGGATAGAGTGCTCCAGATGCAGAACCCAATTGCCTGAGAGGAGTTCAAAGGGATCTGGGTTGTAGCCGAGGCTCCTGTTTCCTAGGGTTGAAGGATCCATGTCTGAGGCTGTGGAGGGATGAGTAAAAAGAAAGGAGATAAAGCAAGTGGATCTTTTGTACCAAGGGTTTGAAAACCCAACTCCTCTTTCCTTTGGATGGAAAGAACTAGTCATCATATGGCTGGGGAGAAGAATAGCATTGTGAATGACTGCTGATAGTCTGTGTTTCAGTTGTCATCATTCTTTGATGGTCTACAGATAAATGGAATTTCATTAGATTTCATTAGGTTCACAAAGTTCTCCAATTGCTTGATTCTGAGGGGATAACAGCACTTTCCTGCTGTAAATGTGACTCATAGGGGAAACATAACGTATGTAACCAAGAAACCAGCTTTAATAGCAAGAAGAAACTTTTATTTCAATCTCTTCCCTCCATGTTAAATGATACATAAAACTAATAAATGGGTAAAAAATATGAGGGGATATAATGATAAAACCCCAAATAGAGCAAGACCTACTCTCAACATATTCCTCAGTGAATCTGACATTCTGCTGTACTGCATCTAACTCATAACTCAACTTCAACAACATGGACTTTCTGCCCTTCCTCGGGCAATTTTTCCAAGCTGAACTTCAACAATCCGGATGATGGCTCGTAGTCAAATTCAACTTCACTAGATCCAACAGTGCACTTTCTTGGCTTAGCTGATGAATAAGCACCAAAGTTGCCACAACCTTTAATCTCCATGCAAACTTTCCCTACCAATTCATTGCTACAGTTCTCTACTCTCACACCACTAAGGCCACTGCTTTCACCTCCGTATCCAACATCGAGCTCAGATAAATTGACACCATTACTAACTTCATATTTTAGCCCCTCAATAGCACCACCTGAATTGTACATGTTGATGAGTCCCAACGGTGCAAAACTGAACCCTGGTGCCAAAACCTTGATAGGTGTTAGTGTGAGGGTTTCATGCTCAAGGACCTTGAGGGACACCGGCATGGCTGCATTATATGGTAGGGTGATTACTTCACCGGTCCGGTGATAGTAAACTGCACAGTCACCAGTCCAGTCATGGTCCAAGGAGGCCTCCGCGATGAGGTGGACGTCACAACCCTTTACATGGCCCGATAGGGACTTCATCTTGGTTTGGTGGAAAGTATTTTTCCTTGCACAGCTGTTCCACGCCGCACCTTGGCAGTTGTATACACCAAGAACTCCGGTGTACTTGTTCATGTTCCATATCTTCAACAAGCTGCAATCAAAGGAAGTGCCAACAAGCAAACAACATATCAAACTCCAGAAATAGTAATTTTAATAGTTGAGACTTGTTCATTAATGGAGCTGTCTAAACCATTTTAACTTCCAAGGCTTAATTTATCATATCTGAACATGTAAAATATATGCAATAAGAAGCCTATGTTCCATCTAATTAGTTAATTTTCTAATGGTTTTATTTCTATTCATTCCGTTCCACCCAAAGAGAGTGAAAAAGCTGAAGCTTACCTAACCCCATCACGAGCTGGATCTGTGAACAAGCAATCACGAGTGGGCCGTCCTGGCAAACGCGCACGGAGAATCGACCCATCAGGCAACACCAATTTCTTCAGAAGCTCAAAGTTATGCCTTCCAGGCGCATCACTGTTACAAACAAAAGGTTAATATTTAGCCACCAGTAACCATAAACTGGTAACCCAAACAATTTTGATCATAAGTAAACCAAACAGAAAGAGGCCAAGGGGGGCTGGGCGATTCCTCCTTACCTAACATAGATGGGGCCGCCGCTAATAGCACGTGCTGAGGCGTGGTACTCGGCGGCCGGATGAAGAGAGTGGAACATGTCCCAATCCGGCAGCATAAATTCCCCAAGGAAAACACTATTGTACGCCACCGCCGCAATGTGGATGGTGTGTGATACTGGATCACGCGGGTAGAAATCATCTGATGCTCTCACCACCGCCGTCTGCTTCGAACTGTTTCCACACAATTTCAAAATACAACCCACCACATCAGAACAAAAAAAACCCCCCAAAAAATAAAACATAAAATAAAAAAGAAATGACAGGAGGAGAAGAAAATTACCAGTAGAGTGCATCTGTGTTATGGCTCATGCAAGCGATGATCCCATTGTCGGGAAAATTCCTGCCCACCGATGCATCAAGAGCCTGATGATATTGCCTCGTCAACTCCACCCTTCCACCGAGCCCAGCACCAACAGTTTCCAAAATGCACTGCACGTCCACCTTAACTCCGTCTATACCCGCATCCGCCAGATAACTGTGCAACTCATTGTAAAACTTGTACACGTTCTTTGGGTTTACCAAACCCAACCCTTGAACCGCTATCGCATCCGTTTTCCAACCCGGTTCATTGTCCACCACTCCCTTCGAAACCATCGGGTACAGGATTTTCGATCCGTATCCTTCCATTTCCTCAACTCCAGGTCGGACTCCACCCCAGTACCCAGTAATTGCGTGCCATACGTACACATAACTTAACCCGTGTTTTTCTTTGGCAATGTTGACGATGTTTTTTAACCCCACCGTCGGATCGTCTTTCTTTTGGAATTTCTCGTTTTCTTTTATCGCGGTCAAACGAAGCAACGGCTGTTGTTTAGTTTCGGCCTGATCTGCCGATGACGATGAAGTTTCTTCTTCCTGGGGATCCCCACCGACGGATTGCCATCCGTCGTCGATGATCGCGAACTTCGGAGGGGTCCCACCGGAAGCTAAAGACTCGAGCCCAGCTTCGACTCCTTCTTGAGTAACGTCCTGGTAAAACGCGTCCCAGGTGCACCACCCGAAATAATCAACGATTCCAGGTAATTTTTTCTCGTGCCGTTGACGGAACGTTTTGAGATGTAATTTGACGGCCTTGATTGCTTCCGATATTGTACTGAAAGGGTCAGTGCCAGCATGGATGAAAACAGAATGCGTGAACGACGAGGCTTTAGTGTCGGCGTCGCCACTCTCCAGACACAGCTCTAGCTGGTCGTTTTGGTTCCCTTGTAAGACGGCTCGAAACGAGCCTTCGATTAAAGGCAGGAATACGGTGTAAACGATCTGATTTTCTTCGGTTGAGTCAAGGTGGGACCCTTCTTTGGTTTCAACCAATAGGAATTGAGTCTCGAGAGGTATGTCTTTGCCTTGATCTCCCATTTTCTGGGCCATCCACCATAGCTTGAACCTAAAGCAGGACATGAACCGGACGTCGCGTAAAGTGCCGATGGGGACCACATGCCTGCTATTCTCTTCATCAAAAACCGCACCGAGGAAAACTCCCTCGACCGGACCGGATTCTGAACCGGAAGTCGCGATCACATTTTCGGGAACTCCGGTTAGGATTGTCCGGTTCTTTACGATTAATTTCCTCTCGGCGATCCTAACCGCCGGTTTAATCGTCATTCCTTCTAATTCTTCTTCTTGTTCTTTATATAGCTTCTTCAAAGGTGGCTTTAAATCACGTCTCTGAAAAATCCAAAAAAACCCATTCAGAAACCATAAATTCAAAACATCAAACACATAAATGAAAGAAAATGCGAGCACCTAATTACCTTAAAAGACAATATCGATAACGCTGGATTTGGAGAAACCCTGGAAACTCCAGCACCTGAAATCCCAGAACGGAAACGTTTCTGAAAATTTTGCTTTGAAAAGTTCCTAGAGAACTGCAAACTTCGACGTTGATTAGATTTGGAGTGAAAGCAAATGAAAGAAAGACTCCTATTTATAGCTAAGAATCGTGAACTGTAACAAGAATTTGACATCATTTTTTTCCCTTCTCTCTCTCAATCGCTGTCCTCTATTTTTTTTTTTCTTTTTTGAGTTTCTTCTCGGATTACCGTCCCACTTTGTTGCCGGGTTTAATAATGTTTTCGAGCTACCTATCAAACGGTTAGACTTAACGGTAGATTAGATTGCCAAGTCGGATCCACGTTGTATCAATCCTGAATCCCTGTTTATTTAGACCGACCAGAAAGATTTCTGCACTTTGAGGTACTGTTTTCGTCTTGTTGTGGATTAATTTTAACGCGGGCTGTTTAGCGTCCACGTAAGTACTATGTGACATCTCTCACGCGCCTCAAACGCATCCTTTTGCATTTTTCACGTGGCACACCTCATCAAACGGCTGCGTTTTTTTTTATAATTTTTTACTGTTGAAAACTTAAAAAAAAACAACAACAAGAAGCAGAAAAATCTTTTCTCTGCCTCGGCGTATTGGGAAATAGGATCAATGATTGAATTATCCACGTCAGAAATTAATGGGATGGACCCATTTTTTTGGATAAATTAAATGGTTTTTATCTTCTCGGAGACATGGGGTGGGTGGGGGCTGTGGCTGCCCCTTTCTATGAAAAATAGGAGAGATCTTTGCAGTTTGCAATTTGCAATTTTTTAAAATTAAATTTATGGGAGTGATGTTTTTGTTTTGAATTCAATCAATGCCAATGGGATTGATATAGTAATAATAACAAAACAAAATCAATGATCAATTATTGGATTCAATCAATGCAAGAGTAGCTGTTTTAAAGTTTTGATTAGAGATGACAACGAATCGAATCGATAAAAATTTTTATTCGCTTCGATCAGATTTTAAATATAAAAAATTTAGATTTGATTCGATAATTTTTATTATTTTTTATATTTAAATTTAATTCGATTTGATATTATATAAAATTATATTCGATTCGATCCGAAATTAATAAAATATTAATTTTAATATAAATATAAAATTATATATATAAATATATATAAATAATTAAAAAATTATTTATATATATCAGATCGGGTATGATCAAATTTGTCTAAAATTTGACTTCGACTTTTTCTTCGTATCACCCGATTTAATTTGATACTTGACTTTTAAAAATAAAAAATCAATCTTAAAAAATTAGATCCAATCAAAATTCATCGTGTATAAATTTTTTTACCTTCTCTAATTTTGACTTATTGGAACCAGAAAAAGGTTGCAGGCAAAAGCAATCTCAATTAAATATTACTTCCTTTTTCTTCTGTTCTAAGTCATTAGCTGGTGAAAATTTCTGAATTGTTTATGTTGAGAAACAATCTGAAGCTACATTGACAATTATAATTTGGTAAATAATTTCAATAAATTAAAAAATATCGTGTTCATTCAACGAGTAATGTACGAATTAATTTTTTTTTAAAGATTCTATTGATTTAACAAGAAACGTTAAATATTTAAAAAGGGGTTTAATTACCTTTGGTAATGATTTAATTGCATATAAGACATATTAGCTGAGCTTTAGAGTTGATTCAAATCATCAATTATTGATATGAATCGGTCAACTCGATATTTGATATTTTCCCGTCTGATAAGATTTGTTCTTTGGATTTTACCAGTTTTTCAAGACCACGTACCAAATTCAGTGCCACCTTCCATGATATTTGCAGTGGAAAGCAAGAACAAGTAAACCCATAAATTAATTTTTTTTTATTATTATTCGCATGGTGATTAGGATTTTTTTCTTCATTATAGCAAAGCTCACCCTCCACGTTAGCAGCCAATTTGTTATCATCATCAATAATTAAGCCATGTTTTGCTTGATACCTTCACTATCTAAAATATATTTGATAATTTATATATTTATATTTATTTATTTTATATTAAATATATATAATATAAAATTTATTATATTATAATTTATATGAATAAATGATATATAAAAAATTAATATTATTAAATATAAATAATTTTTATTAACATTTTAAATTAAATTATTTTTATATAATATCTTCGTATTTACTTTAAAATCCTTTGTACTTCATTTCTGGCCATGTTTACATTAGGACAAGTGCTTAAGAAAATTAAACTCTTTTTTATTTAAAGATATTTTAATTAGATATAATAATTTATATATTTATATCATATAAATATTAAAATTTATATATTTAAATCGTATTTAATCTAAAAATTATATCGATATAAAAATATAAAATATATATTTAATTTTATTAAATTTATATATAATTATATTTAAAATTTAAAATTATATTATTTTTATATTTTTAATTTATATTATATTATCATATTATATTTTAAATTATTTAAAATAATTTTTAATATTCAATAAATATTCTTCAAGATATTTATTCTTCAAGATAAATATTCGAAAAAAAATTTGAGGTCGTAGGGAAAATTTGGTGTAGAAAAGATAAGGCTTGGATTTTTCTGTTTTTTGGGGACACGTAGGCATGAGTAGATAAACGAAATCGAATCTGCACCGTTTACTTGTCCACTTGACATTAATGGGAAGCAGCTGAGTAGGCATTAGTAAATTAAGTACTGACACATGGAACCGTTGGGGCATAAATATCTCCACGGCATAAAAAAGCGACAGATATCGTTGCTTGTTCTTTTTTTTTTTAATTATCTTCACATGATTCTAGCCGTACGATACGCATCAAACCCCATAGATTAAAGGATGGAGGTGGGAAAGATTTTTTTTTTTGAGACATGACGTGGAAAGTCTGTATTAGATCATCAATTTTTTTAATTACTTTTGGCTACCAAATTATGAGTATTACGAGGCTTGATTAGCAATTATTATATATTTTTTAGTTACATTATAATGATAAAGTTTTAATACAAATAAAAAAAATTAATTTTAAATCAGATCATTGATATCCTTTTAAATATTTTTAATCATTAAATCAAAGATTTAAAGATATTATTATATTTTCTTACATTACAAAATATGATTTTAAAATTTAACATTATATTGTTTAATTAAATATGTACGTTATTATAGATTTAATTTTGATTCAACTGTCAAAAAATAGTGTAATACTTATGTTGGTATATCTCATGTGTCAATGAGAACTTGATTTGGTGGTAAAGAGGAAACTCTAAACCCTTATATTAAAAATTTAAGTTTCATTATGTATGAATTTGATTATTTCGTTATATTATAATTAATTTATTTATTATTTAGTAATATATTATATATGAATGTAATAGTTAATTATTATTGTATAAACTTAAATTTAAATTTTTTTAATATAATATATAAATTATGAATTTGTTAATTAATATGATGCTCAGAGAATTATTTATGCATCACGTATTATTATTTAAACTAATCACATTAAATATGAGTATCATTTCAATTAACAAATTAATAATCAATTATTATATTAGAGATTTTTAAAATTTGATGTCACATTAAATATTTCATTATAATTTATGAATCATTTATAATATTAATCTTATAGATAATTATATATTGCATAAAAAGTAATATATATATAGTAGCCAAGATTTACATTATTTCTTATTTCATATTAGAATTTCGCTATGGATGTTTTGAAATAAAAAATATGTTTTAAAGGTGAAAATACAGTTTTTATGATTAAAATTATAATAATTATTTAAAAAGTGAGGTTTTTTAGATATATTTTTATTAAAAAATTAAAATAATATATTATTAATTTCATATTATTAATATTTATACAAATGAGTCTTATGAAAATTTATCAATAACAATGATAAATACCAACAATGTTGATTCTTAAAGTCTTTGAATAAACGGTTTACAATGTGGCACGCTCTATTTAAAATAAAAAGAGTTAATACGTAGTAGTATCAGACAATATGTCATAAATGTCACTTTGGTTAGTGTTAACACATATTAATATTTTATTACATTAAAAATTATTGCATACGACTATTTTTATATTATATATTTTTTAAACGAGCAATTTATTTTTATTTAATTTTTTGAATTTCTTTTGTTTTGATCATATTTAACTTTAAAAATATAAAATTTTTAATCATTTATATTATTATAATAAATAATAAATTTTTTTAAAATTCAAAGATTAAAAAAATCACATGAATATGAATATCTCGTAAAAATAATAACATGAACATGGTCAAACTCATAAAATATGATGATTGATTGGTCAAAATGACATCCCCAAACAGTCCCTTATATGCCGCCCTAACCCAATACCGATTGGCGCGAAAACTGAAGCGAACGCAAAGTCCCAAATCATAAACTTGTCGGGTTCTTCACCTTCTTCGATTTAACTATCGTAAATCGTTTCGACAAGAAATCAAAACCTTAATGTCATCTAATTCCAAAACAAATAAATCGTTCGGTTAACTCGTTTACACTTCCAAGAACAGTCCAGTGACAGTCCTCCTTCAATCCAAGCCCTAGCTCGAAGTTCTAGCTGTCCTTGCAATTTAACCGTAGCCAATATGATGAATATGAAGAAATGTAAAATTTAATCACAAATTTTGTTTAATTTGATTTATATATATATATATATATATATTTTGGATGAATGCAGAGCTGATCAAGCTTTGAAGTGCTTGGGAGTAATGATATATCATCCTTCCCTTGTTGCTACAATTCCTGGTAATTCTTTTTATTTATCAGATTTTTAGTAAGATTTCGAAATTTTAATTTATTACCATCTCTTATCATATCCGTTCATTTTGTTATCTTGTTTTCAGAAAGATTTAACTCTGTTGAAAGCTAGTGACTTCCTGAAAGAATCTTTGTTTTATCAGAGGGAAAACTTGAACAGGCTATTGAGGTTTGGAAGTCATTATGTGGTTCTGTTAGTGTTGCATACTTTAATTCTTTTGCTATGAACAGTTTTGGTGGTGATCTTTGTGCAATGTTAAATTGGTGTTTTGATGAAAATGGTAGCATGTTTCAGTATAAGAGTTAGCTTGGTTTATGTGACAAGGATCTGGAGTCTGCTTGCCTTTTCTTTCTCTGGCAAGGGTGTGGTATGTATTTTGGAATAGAGACTGACTTCAGATACAAGTTCATGTGGAAGTCGAAAAGAATGTGGTGGTGTCTGCAATTTATCCAGTGGCATTAACAATATTTTAGAATTTGCTTCCAGATAAAAGAAAACATTTGAATCCACTCATGTTTATAAAGCCTTCATTAACCTGCATTAGGTTAAAATTCTAATGTCTTTTGCAGTTGAATTGCAGGAGTTTCTGTGTAAGCTACAACTGGTTCATTGCCCAGCCTGCATCAAAGTTCCCAGGCCCTTTTGTCATTTCCAATTAAGAGTGCATCTTATGGGTGAAATGTTCAACATTTAGAACAGCTACTTTGAAAGCTGTCCTAACCATAGAAGTTCATTTGTAAGGTAACTAAAAGCAAAAGGTTTAATAATCCATCTTAACCATGATTGAGATGAGAACTTAACCTAGTAGTTTATCCGATTTTTGTGACAGCAAAAATCAGAATTGTGCTTGCTGCTTATTCTATTATCAAGGAGGCACATTTTTTTCGTAAACTTTTACCAAGAAACAGGCTGTAATTTGAGTTCAAATAATTAGATGGAGAAAATCTTCTCTGGTGTTTTTCTGTGTGTGTGTTCGTTCATTAGGGTGCTTAATATTCCCCAATCTCAAAGGCTGTTGCCCTTTTGTTGCTTAATATTCTTCAGAGTAATGAAGTTCATGAACATAAATATGGGAAAAGAACCATTCACAGGTCTTGTGAGTTTTAGCTAAATCATTCCTCTTGTCTATTTATGCTTCATGTTGAGATTTTTCTTTGTAAATGTTTACATGTTTATATTTCGCTTATGCGAGTGGGTTGCAGGGTATTTTCTGCATTAGCACGCATCATTATTTGCCTTCACTTGAAGCAAGATATTCTTTCACTTTTTGAAGTTTGTATTTTTGCTTTGCGATTTTTCATGTTACCACTAGCATGCTGAGGAAAAACTTCTTTTAAGCTCTTGCATCTCATTTATGTCGTCAATATATAGCCGATCAATTATAAAGCCCCAATGTACGCACAAACACATTAGTTAAATCAATGTAAGCCTTTTAATTGTGAAGTTGAGCAGGTGTTCTTTTCTTTTCTTTTCTTTATACAAATCGAGATGTAACACATGAATGAGAGATGACTTCAATTTCTACAAGCCTTTTATCCCATGGAATTGGCATTTTGTTGTTTTAATATTGGATGATGCTTATGCTGCAGGTAATATCCTGTCCACTGCTTCAATGGCTGTCACATCAAGAGATACAGGATGAAAGTGCCAAAAATCAACTTGGAATCCTATAGGCAGAGAGCCTCAATTGTTTACGAAGAAGTGAAGTCAGCCAACGCTAACTTTTGATTCTTCTTTCCTCTAACTTGAAGCATGCCACCTTGAGAAAAACACTTGGTCATCCAAATGCCTTGCTTTCTGATCCTATCATCATCTTTTGGAACTCCACAAATGGCAAGCAAATCAATTTGGAGTATCCCCAAAATCTGCTTCATGTTTTAGACAAGCTGTCAAGAAATGGAAGAATAAAGCAAATCATTTCTGGCAAGATGCTCTATGCTAGAAAACAACACCGCCCCACAGAGTTGCAAGGTCGCTGCAACACAGAGCAGTAGCTCAAAGAGAGTAGAGTTGATGGAGGGTATAATGGCTCAATTTAACCAAAAGGATAAGCCACCCTATATTCAAAACGAAAAAGGCTAGAACTGAGCATCAAAAGGAAGTAAGACGATAACTGCAGTGGACATGGTACTGGGATCCGAACATTCGGGAATCAGAAGCCATCACGGAGATGTTAAGCAGAGTCGGATGATTGTTTCTATCTATGACCCTGGTTTGTCATGGTATCAGATGTACTCATCTTCATCCCCTAAAATTATTTGATTTTGCATGAGAGTTTCACACGCTAATGGTCTATTTGGGCTTCCGTCCCCCAAAAATAGAGCATATTACTTAAGAAAATTTTTTTATTATAATGTTATAATTGTTCAATCAAAATAAAAATTTACATAAGGGTTCACCATTTATGGATATAGAGTTCATAAAAAATTTGATGGATCTCTCATAATTTTGAATTATAATTAGTTAATTGTATTACAATTGTTATAGGTGATATTATTTTGAAAAAAAAAAGGATTTTATAGTTGAATTTTTGTTTTTAGTTTTTTATAGAAATTATGATACAATTATATGTAAATTAAGTCATTGTTATTCAAACAAATATGTTAATATTTTCATTTTCTTAATCACAGAAAATATAATTATTAAATTAATATTAATTCTTATTATTTTATACCCAAATAGCAGTATAATGCACTTCAATAATTTAGATTCATTAGTAAAATTCAAAATTTTTTTATATATAACATTAGATAATAATCCTTAAAATTAATAACAATAAAATATAATAAATGTATATTATTATTAGATGGATAACATGTAAGTTCATTAAAATTTTAAAAAATATAAAAATTTGTGTAATATTCTATTCAAATGAATTAATAGAGTAAAGTAGAGATTTAAGATAAATCTAAGATAAATTAAAATATATATATATATTTATATATATCAAATAATTGCAAATAACTTTGATTCTCTACTAAACTGCCCTATCACTGCCCGCGCTGCCGTTTAACCCATTTTGGACTAAAAAAAGAAACGAAAAAAAAAGGCCTCTTTCTCTCGAGTCTCTATTCGTATCTCTCCCCCAATTCCGTCGCGTAGATTTTTATTTTTTTTGGTCACTTCTGCAAATCAGGCGACACCCAGGCGGCAAATAACGTACGCCGATCTTTCCTCTTATGCAATTTCACCAAACTTTTTGAGGACTCCTACCAAAGAAATTCCCCCAAATTGAATTTTATTAAAAAACTAAGACATTTTCTTGTTAAAAGAAGCTAGGGTTTTTTTTTTTTTTTTAAATCCTCTACGCCTTAGGTTTTTTATTTTTATTTTTTATTTTCAATTTTCTTAGCCCCGTTCGATTCGTCTGATCTGGTCATGGATTTGCGAGATTCATCATTGTCATCGGCTCCGAATCGAGATGGTATCGCCGGCGACGATGACGGTATTCTCTCCGTCACTTCTGCACTCGCTAAAGACGCCGCTCTTTACTTCCTGTCTAGAAAATTCGCCGAGTGCGTCGATATCTTGAATCAACTCAAGCCGAAGAAAGAAGACGATCCAAAGGTAAATTATTTCAAATTATTACGCATATTCATGCCATTGACTCGATTCATTTCTTAATTTTTTTCTGTTTATTTATTTATTTTTAAGTTGGAATTTGAAGTTTGTTTTCTAGTGTTTTATTGTGTATTTTTTGGGCTCGTTAATAATTGATTATCAACTGATTTCGATTGCCCTCACATTGAAATTGTGCTAACTACCAATAGCTTCACATCAGTGGCTTTTGAAATCTACTATGATTTTGCCCTTTTTGTTGGCGCTGTCTAAGTTTTTTGAACCAAATGGATTATTCTACAGATTCTTCATAATATTGCAATTGCGGAGTTTTTTCGGGATGGTTGCTCTGATCCAAAGAAGTTGCTTGAAGTCCTTAACAATGTCAAGGTACAATATTCTTTTTTTTTCCCCTTCCTCTGGGTTTACATGGCTGTGTACTCCCACCAAAATTTTCATTATTAAACAAGTTATGTACTTTCTGAGAAGAATGATAGTCCTGGCCTGATCATCAATTTCATAACTTTGAGGTCTTGTTTTCCCCAGAATGGATGGTGGGTGGAGGGGTGAACTGCCGCAGAACAAATAAGGAAAAAGAAAAATATTATCTTGTAGCACTCAAATGAAGTCTTTTTGCTTTTGCTGAAGCAAATCTGCTCAGCTTAAATCAAAGTTGTTTGCGTGGTTTTTTTAGTTGCAATCTGCTACTGTCATTTGTGGTAGGCATTTGGCAATTTGAACAACGATTAGCTTTAGCATATAATCACTCCTAATTATAGTATATACTTTGGGAAATATAGTGGTGAAAATGATTTATGTATCTGACCCACTTTAATTTGAGCCTGAGTTTGTGTGTGTATTTATATTTCACCTCTAATAGCAGGGTCCCTGTAATGAATTTGTTTTCTTTCTCCCAGTTGCTCTAACTAGGAAATAAACAATTTTGAGGAGGTTGATTTGTGTCTAGCGATAAAGTTTTGTTGTATTGCTATGTTCAGGACTTATTTTGACTTACACTGCTATGTTTTTTTTTTTTTTTCTTTTTTCTGTTGGTTCAGAAGAGAAGTCTGGAGCTTGCTTATGCATCTGGGGAACAGGTGGAGTCTGGTAGCAATATTGGAAATAAAGTTACTTCAGGTTCAAAAGGAAGCGATTCAACTACACATCAGTTTTCTGCTTCAAATGGTGCCGGTATTATTTATACAGATGAATTTGATACCTCTGTGACTGCTCTAAACATAGTATGTCCTCTTTCTATACTTTCAAGAGTTCATGTGCAATAATCTTTTCATCAATGGCTTGAAATAACATTTTTGTTCTGAATTTATCTAATTTAGGCAGTTATTTGGTTCCACCTTCATGAATATGCAAAGGCATTATCAGTTCTTGAACCTCTATATCAAAATATTGAACCAATAGAGGAGGTACTTTATATTTTTGTCATTTTGTTTAAATGATTGTTGGCTTGTATTAATTGTTTCCCTTTTTATTTATATGCAGACAACAGCTCTTCATATCTGCCTCTTGTTGCTGGATGTTGTGCTAGCTTGTCATGATGCTTCAAAATCTGCTGTAAGTTCTAAATATCTGTACTCTGATTACTTGGAATTCCTTCCGAAGTGAAAAATTCCTTGCTAATTTCCTCTGTGATCACTTTAGAGATTACTGTAAGATGGATATGAGTATGACTAACTATTAGACTTGTGATAAAAAAGCTAGCTTGTTTGTAGTGATGAGAGTGTGTCTGCCCTATAATCCTGATAAGCATGTTGCTAGATGACATCAAAGCACTTGCCAGTTAAGAACATTTAAATAAAGGAACTAATTTATTTAAAGGTGCTTTTGTTCCATTGGACACATCCATCAAAAGATAACCATTTTCATTTTTGTATAGTCTTGAATGGATGATTTGAAATGTTTTGGGTGATGATAAACCATTCCAATATATTTCTCCAGGTGATATTTTAAAAATGATTGTGTGGAGTGCCAAACTATTAAAGGTACCAAGTACTCCAATCAAATTAAAACTTTGAAAACAGGCAAGACACTCTAGCAAGAGTGTAGCACACCATTTTTTCTCTTGGTTTTCGATATCCTCATTTTCTCTTTTGCTATAATACAGTAATCGTTAAATCATGAAGACTGGTTTTGGTCTAACATAATCAATTATTTACAAGTCCTATCTTCTAAATGCACTTCATTTTATTTATTATATGTAGGTAACTAGATCTTAACTGTTTTTGCCTCCTAGAGTTGCAGTGTAGAAACCATCTTATTAATTTATGAAAGCTATATGAAACTATGGATGGTTGTTGCTTGTATAAATTCTGCAATACTACAGGGTACTTTCTCAATCTATATTTTAAAATAGGATTGCGTTGTTATTTACTGGTATTTCCACCCACTGAAGAAGAATGAACCACATCTGTTTTCATTTTTAAAAGGAACATATTCATTCAAACTCTTGTCCTTACCATGCTGTGCTTCTTGTACCAATTCCATCTTACATTTTATTTACAGGAAGCCACTTAAGCATTTTCTTGTTGAACATCCTGAAAGTTTCTGCAAATGCCTTTTTAGTTAATAATATTTCAAAGTGCTTGGTGATGAGGCAAGCATCAAATATGTCACAATTTGTTGAAAAAAACAGCTTGTAACTCTATTTTTTTCCACTATGTATCTATGTTAGTATTAGCATGTCTTAAATGATATGGAGAATGCTCTTATTTTATGACTTTTGATGCTACTTTTAGCTTCACTTTTCCTATTTTCCAAATAATCACATTTATCTCTTAACTTGGCAAATGTTTATGTTTACTTTGTCTTTCTTTGTTCCTCAGTCCTGCTTAAAATGTCCCTACAAAATAATGGAATAATTCAGTTTATTTTGAAACTTCCGTGCCCCATGGAAAATGCTGAAAGGCTTTCCTGGTTCAGAATTTAGGATTCTAGAGCAGTAGTGCTTTTCATGGGTTGGTTAATTTGATATTTTCTAGCTAAAATAAGCTTTATTATATGATATTGGTTTTTTTATTTCTTTCACATTTTAGGTTTTCATTTTTGTACAGGTTAGATAGTTGTTCTAAGATTATCAAATTGGATAAGTTGCTTCCTTGTTTGTAGTCTGCTTGCTATCTCAATCTGTAGAATTGCCTATTATGCCTTTTTTCTTTGCTATATTGTTTTTTTGCTTATGAGATTGGTGACTTTATTTTGCACTGATAAGCATGGTTGGTATGAAGATTCATTTAAACAGTTAAAGCAGGCTTGGAGGCTTAGGCTGTTTAGTCCTGCCTGTTGGAGTCTGGTTTGGATTCACGCCCTCAGTATGGGCAGTTAGAACTCTGTTCAGAGTTCAGACAGTTGTAAACCCAGTTGGTACTCTGACCAAACGCCAATTCTTTTATAATACACCTTATATTGCTTATTATTTGAAGGGACTTTGTAATGAGTTGATGAAAAGATGGTTTACCATCTTGTTGGGTCACACATGGTTTGTAATGCATATAGGAATATAATTCCTAGTATATATTTTGAGTTTTTGGCATTATCATTTGGCATCCACTGTGGGTGCGCATGTTATTTAAATGGCAGGTTTTACCATGTTATGTTTTATTTAAAATTATTGTTTGTATCTTATATAACTTTGATGCTAAAACAGCTTTAATTATGTACAGGATGTATTAAATTATTTGGAAAAAGCATTTGGCGTTGGCAATGTGAACCAAGGGGACAATGGTAACATGGCTGTACAACAACCCGCAAATCTAGTTGGAAAATTATCCTCCGTTACGAGTAGCTCATTGGTCTCAGATGCTTCTGGTTCAGACTTAGCTGCTAGCATAAATGCCTCTGAGAATCCACTATCTAGAACTTTATCGGAGGACCCACTGGATGAAATGTTTTCAACACTGGATATTGGTGGACAGAACTTATCAAGGCCTGCTGGTCTTACATCCGCAAATGATCTTCCCAGGACCACAGTTGATAGATCCATCTCTGGTGTTGATCTGAAGCTCCAGTTGCAACTTTACAAGGTTCGATTTTTGCTTCTCACTAGAAATGTAAAGCTAGCAAAGCGTGAAGTCAAGCATGCTATGAACATTGCTCGAGGGAGAGATTCATCTATGGCTCTCCTTTTGAAGGCCCAGCTTGAGTATGCTCGTGGAAACCATAGAAAAGCCATCAAGTTGTTGATGGCATCAAGCAATCGGACAGATGCGGCAAATTCAAGCATGTTTAACAACAATCTAGGCTGTATTTACTATCAACTTGGGAAGTATCATATGGCTGCAGTGTTATTTTCCAAGGCACTTAGTAATTGTTCATCTCTTCAGAAGGAGAAACCTCTAAAGCTATTAACATTCTCACAGGATAAATCTCTCCTCATAACATATAACTGTGGGTTGCAATACTTGGCCTGTGGGAAACCAATACTTGCTGCTCGCTGTTTCTTGAAGTCAAGTTTAATTTTCTATAAAAGACCCCTCTTGTGGCTTCGGTTTGCTGAATGTTGTCTAATGGCTGTAGAGAAAGGACTTGTAAAAGGAAGTTGGACTCCATCAGACAGATCAGACATTAGGGTCAGTGTTATTGGAAAGGGTAGGTGGAGAAAACTTATAATTGAAGATGGAATATCTAGAAATGGACTTGTAGATTCTGTTGAAAAGGGTGATTGGGCGTTAGGTGGTGATGGGGAGCCTAAGCTTTCATTAACCTTTGCTAGGCAGTGTCTGTATAATGCACTGCACTTGTTGAACTTTTCTGAGTGGGGTCATTTAAAGTCTGTTTTACCCTCTAATTCATCCTTGGAGGAGAATGAATCGAGTGATGCAGCATCTTCCAAGAACTCAAACCATAAGGACGTACTTGGCATAGATTCGAAGTCTTCAAATATGTCTGTAGGTCTAGTTAACTCCAACGGGGATTTGAAAGAGCCAAAGGGGGGAACTAATCAGGAGATCATTCAGAGCTCCATCTTCTATTATGAAGATGTTTGCAGAAGAGAAAATCAGATGATTAAGCAATCACTTCTTGCTAACCTGGCATATGTAGAGTTAGAACTGGAAAATCCTTTGAAGGCCCTCTCTGTAGCACGATCTCTCTTAGAACTACCAGGTTGTTCCAGAATTTACATCTTTCTAGGTCATGTCTATGTGGCAGAGGCCCTCTGCTTGCTGAACAAGCCTAATGAAGCTGCAGAGCATTTGTCTGTTTATTTGTCTGGGGGAAATAATGTTGAATTGCCGTTTGGTCAAGAGGACTTTGAGCAATGGCGGGTGGAAAAACCTGTTGATTTTGAAGAATCAAATGGAGGAACATCAGCTGCCAAGAATCCTTCCCCTGAGGGCTTGCGGGAATTCATGTTTCTTAAGCCAGAAGAGGCACGTGGAACTCTTTATGCAAATCTTGCGGCTGTGTCTGCAGTACAAGGTGAACTTGAGCGGGCCAACCATTTTGTTATGCAAGCATTGTCACTGGTACCCAACAGTAGGGAAGCAACCATGACTGCAATTTATATTGATCTCATGCTTGGTAAGTCACAAGAAGCTCTGTCCAAGTTAAAACATTGTAGTCATGTCTGGTTCCTTCCCAGCAGTTTACAGTTGAATAAATCCTCCTAATGGTTGTGTGAGTGGTTCTAATTCAATCCTGTGTGGTCCTCCATTCAGTTGCTAGTTAGCAGGTAGATCAGCAATCCTTTGTAGAGGATTTGTATTATAAAATATAGTTCAATTCAGATAATAAGTTTTCGTTTATCTTTTTTTTGTCCCCTTCCATTTTTCCATATCTAGGGTTAATTTTTCAGTGGTGTGGCTGATTGTTTTGATAAGAGCTGATGCCCACCCGTGAATTTTAGATGTAATTCTAATCCAGGGTTATTGTGTTGTAGTGGTTGATCCCTCTGGTACTGAAGAATAGAGAGATAAATGTGCTCCTCTTGAGATTGAAACGGAATAGATTATATTCATTTTGAATTTAAATCCCAAGTCATTCATTCCAATGGGTTGTGCCTTGCCTTCCAATTTACATATTTGTTCAATTTTCCATTTTTTTGGGGCTCCAAAAATATTAAAATCTAAATCTAAATCTAAATCCATATTTAGGTCCCTTCAAATTACCCCACATTCTAAATTATCCTCTCAACGTGAATGTGAAGGGGGGAGCACTTAGAAGACCAAATGACGTGTTTTTGCGACATTGTCAGCTTTGTAGAGTAGCGAAGCAAACATGAGAACAGCTCGAATCTGGCTGCTGGTCGATTTGGTGTTTGATTACAATTCATCAAAGTTTCGAACAAAAATCTGTTCATACAAAACCTAGATTCACCTAAAAGACAACTTTGACGATCCTTTCGGAAGCCAAACCTTGCTATAGCATATAACAATCGTGACTGTCAGATACGTTCTCTCATTTCTTGTAATATCTTAAATCTCATATCAGAAGGTTTTTGAATCTGTTATAATATATAAGTAGAGATTTAAATATAAATTTGTTAAATTTTTTTTGTGAGATAAAATCGTAAGACTTTCGGATCAAAACAGATAATACTTCATAAGTTAGATGTGGATCTCCATAAATGATATTAAAACGGTTATCAGTTGAATGAGAACTAAATACTATGCCGTGAGAGTCATCTTTAAAATCTTGCGGGATTTAAGTACTATACGGTGAAAATCAACCAACATTTGATATGATCTGTGTGTACTTTATATTGGACTTGTCCAACATTTGATATGATTTGATAAATCTGTGTGTTTTATATTAGATTTGATGTAGATCTCAGATTTTAACAAAAAAAGTATGTAACACTTCAATCTTCTATTGAGAGATTATGTGAATCTACTATAATATATAAGTAAAAATTTAAACTCAAACTTCTAAAGCCTTTATATATATATATATATATATATATATTTCCAATATCCAATCCCTTGCACGAACCATTTATGATATGGAATTGTCTGATAAAACAGATGATCTCATTAAACTTGACAACAGCTATGAGTCTTTAATTAATAATCAGCCATTAATAAGCATTGGAGTAGTTAGACTCGCGAGATTTGGATGGTTTGGAGACTGAGTCTTCAATATTTGTATTTAGGTTGTAAATTGTAATAGTTCTATCTTTGTTTGATTGTTTGGATTATATGGTTGTTAAGACAGAACATCCAATGTTTGCATACGAGGATGACAATGACAATACGTACTGATACTAACAATAAACAACTTAATTTTGTAATGTTGCTCAACGCTTTCTTCGTTTCAAATTTACTCCACAATCATCTTGTTTATAATTGGCTGGATTCTTTTACTATCGTATGACTACATTATTAAGCATGACAGCAAAGGCAATTTTGTCATGGAACTACATAAATCTGTACCATTCATCAAAATTTCTATTTACTGCTTTATGTTTCCATGAAGTGGTGATAAAATGAATTCTGGTTATGTGTTAAATTTGAGGTTTCCTAACCTATCTGTCTGGCCAAAAAAAAAAAAAAAATCTGTTTGTCAATAGATTTCAAGGTGAATAGTTAACTTCTTCGTGGATCACTTGCCATATGGGCTTGAATGAACCAAAAGAATGAATATCTCCTGAATTCTAACAGAAACCCTTATCAAAAGATACCACATGTAACATTTTATTATAGAAGATAGAGACAAACAAGGTTCGTGACTTCATGTGCCATAGCTTAAAATTGGTCCCCTAGTGATCTTGGCCAATTCCATTGAACTGTATTCTTCAAGTTGCGCCTTGTGATCGATTTCTAGCTGATTCCTATAGATCATCTTCTGCTTGAAGAACGAGAAAAGCTAAATCAAGAAAAAGAAACAGATAAATGAAGAAGATAAAGTTATCTATGGTTCTAGGATTTACTTTCCTGATTCTCTCCCATTGTTTTTCATTGTAGAAGACGCACACGATGGAGCTTGCCAATGCAGTGGTTGAAAATAAAAAGAGAGATGAAAATTTTAAGAATAAGTTATGGTCTTTTGTCCATAATGGACCAATTGAACATGTATGGTTCACCAAAATTTCGATGCAATTGATTTTTCAGGTTGCTATTGAGTTCTTCACGATCAAACATTCAAATGTTCCATAGTTTTTTTTTCTTCTTTTGAATAATTTTCAATCAAAACTTATAATGCACATTAGGCCTAATTGTCATTGTCATCAGCTAGTTTAGATGATATAAACTATTTGATAACAATATCTTATACAAGACGGTAATAATCCTACTAGGATATTAGAACGGATTCTACTTTTTTTTTTTTTCAATAAAAATTTGAATTTTAAGAAAGGCGAAGCCAAACATAGAAACACAAGAAGAAAAAGGGATGAAGAGTAATGAAATGGCTTTGAATGCAACTATAAAAGGTTGCTGTCTGGTGTACTAGATCTGTCTCAGACCATTTGTATTGTAGCCTTCCTCAGTTCCTATCATGCATGGAATAAAAAAAAAAAAAGCTTACTTCATGTAGGGGTCTCTGTCGTTTTTCTAAAAGTAATTAACTCTCCCAGAAGGCATTTCCAGTCTCCAACCATAGTTTCTGAAAGTAACATTGTACCATGCACAGGACCAAAATATCGAAAAGTTTACTAAGGAGTAATGACTCCAAAACCCAAAATATTCGATCATTGTGACACTGATCATCGGAGGTGCAATTCTCAAAGCCCATTGAAACTCCGAAAACCATAATCTTTGATCTTTCTCTCTCAGTGTCTTCAATATTAAGATGATGACCTAAAAGGAAAGCTATCAAATTGAATGGTGGATTTTGGTGTAAGGTACTTATAACCATCTTTTTCAAAGTGGGGATCCAGAGCCATTTTCTGAAATATTATGAGGCAGATTCTCCAGGGGATCAAAATTTTGGTTTCTTCAAGGCTTTAAAATTTCAGGACTTTTAACATGCATTTTGCTTTAGAAAGTGATTAAAAATTGAATAGGAGATATTGAAAAGTTATACCCCTACATGATAATCCCTGAAAATCATTAACATAGAGAAATCATTCTTGATTGCTTCTTTCGTCGAAGACAAAAACACACTTGCAACAATCTTTAAAAAGAAAAGTAAAAACAAATGGTGTTACAATAAGAGCTAGCCAGCTGAGATTTCCAATCCAATTGAGAGAAAGAGAGGAAGGGGTAGGAGAGAAAGAGAAAGCTCGACATCCTCTCATGTCGATTTCATCAGAAAGTCCATGAATCTAGCAGCCTGCAAATCCGTACGCCATGAAATCTAATGAGAAAAAAAGTTCCTGGAATATTCGTACAGTACAGCAGAAAGAAAAAAAATAACAAAGCAAAAAGTCATTCATTATTTAGAGTGCAAAATGTCAAACTGCCATACTTTATTCATTCTTTTTGGTTGAATCACTGCACTCCTAAAGTTATTTTTTGGCTTTTGTTCCTTATGACTTGGATTAAGTTAAAACAATGCTCGACCCTTTTTTAAAAAACTTTGAGCTTGGCATGAGATTTTTTGTTTTTTTTTTTGTTGAAAACTTTGATTGTACCCAAAAAGTAGTTCAAAACATCAAAGACGAGAGGTATTTTATTTCAATAAATTCTGAAATAACCATATAATCTTCTTTTTCGCTTAAAATTCAAGAAAATTCCAATATATAAGCACCTTAACAAACATTTAAAGCTTCGAACCACAGAAAGCATATTTGAATGAAGGTGATATAGATATAAGTACTTAACTTTGATCTAGAGAGAGCAAGTATAACTGGAAGGAGGTGTCTTCCCACAAGTGACAAGGAGCTGAAGAGCAAGTGGCACATAAAAGTTAAGGTTGAGAAGCTTGAGCTTGAGAGTGGTGCACAAGCAGACTGCAGCTTCGAGCTCAACAAGTCCTGAAAGAAGTGGACAGCATGCATTCACAACTGTGTCACCATGGCCAATGTGCACCAAACCTCCAAGGAGATCCACACAAGCACCCAATTTTAGTGTGTCAACAGGGCAAGTGGCCTTGAATGGTGGAGGTGGGCAGGGTTTTCCACTTGGTGGCTTAGTAATTGGAGGCACTGTCACCGGAGGAATTGCCACTGGAGGGAGTTTAATCGGTGGCTTCACAATTGGAGGTACAGTCACTGGAGGAACTGTCACAGGAGGGAGGTTAATTGGTGGCTTCACGATTGGTGGAACTGTCACTGGAGGGATGTTCACTGGGGGTTTTGCAATTGGAGGGACAGTCACTGGAGGAACCGTCACAGGAGGGAGGTTAATTGGTGGCTTGACAATTGGAGGAACTGTCACTGGAGGGACGGTCACCGGTGGTTTTACAATTGGAGGGACAGTAACTGGTGGCAAGTTGATTGGAGTTTTAACAATGGGAGGGATAGTAATGGGGCCTTCAGGGGACTTTCTCTTATGTTTTGGCTGTGCCTTGCCACAGGAACCACAGCCAAGAATTGGAGTGGCTGATGAAATGAAAAGCATGCAAATGAGGAGGAGAGCTGAGATTTTGCTCGAGTCCATTTTGAGAGAAAGACAGTCAAATTGGAATATGTAAAATTTTCGTAGGTAAGCAGGAATTATATGGGAATAGTGACGAGTGCAAGAGAGAAAAAAAAAAGGCCACAGAAGAAGCAGGTCACGTGAACATGTGCTAAGCTCAAAAGGCAGCTGCCAAACTTTGCTTGCCAAACTTTGCTAGTTGGCAAACTATTGCTCTGCCGTTACAATCTCAACCTCTATGTACAGTACAGGCTTGGATTAATCTTTCCATGATGAGGTTCAAATTCTATCTCTTCACATCATTCTTCATCACCTTGCATGCATTGCATGAATGATATACATAGATAATCCAAAACTATATATTAATACTTTAGCTGAGGCAGCTAAACTATATATTAATATTTTTAATTTTTGAAAAAAAAGGTATGAGATTAGATGCTATAAAAATCTGAACCCATCATAGTATGGACTGTCAACAGAAAATTTTTTAGACAAATTAGGTTCAGAACTTAGATGTGGCTGATTCATTTCCCTTGAAATTATTTGACATGTGAAAAAGCTTTGGGCAAAAGTTAACTATTATTGTAACCAATTTCATCAAGTTAATGACAATGTAATTGCCTAAGAGAAAATTAAACTTTAACTTAAAGCAGAATAAAAGGAAAAACAAATTAAGATCACATTCCTTTGCATATATATGTATCCTTTTTTCTGCTTATAAGCCAACTGTGAACCACTAATGAAATTTTGTCCCATGATAGCATACAATTCAGACACAAACTTCACTACAGACTGACTTTCTTTCCAATTTCTGGTCATATATAGGAATTGAAAGAGAAAAGATGATGAGTACAGCAAGGCAAGCATGTGAGATGGTGGTTGGATCGAGTACTGAAAGAGAAGAGAATGGTGGTGGGGGAGATGGCATAGTCTGTAATCGATCAAAAGACTTTTGGTGTTAAGAGAGAGCATCCGTGAATGCATGGTTATAGATATGTTTGAGAGGCTGGCCTTTTTTGTATTCTTCTCGTTCTCCATCCGTGATTCTGCTTTCCTCACTCTCATGATGTGATCGGTCGGCCCTTTCTCTGTCTTTAATTACCTTCCTCTCACTTTCATCAATACTACCTCTCTTCTTCAACAAATAATAGGGTTTTGTGGTGACATACATGCTTGCATGATAGTGTGATCAAGCTTTCGCTATATATAGGATTAGAATGTGTTAAATCCTTTGGAATATTTTTCCCTAAATGAAGTTTTTTCTGGGTATATTCATACATATAGTTAGGAAATTAGTTCAATTAGTAAGAATTTGTTGGAAATGCCCTTCATTTTTACATAATAATTTGGATGATTCTTAACTAATTTCCTGTGTTGGTTTGAGTTTTAGCATTTTCCTAAAATGATTTATGTTACAAAGTATATCGCAGCTTAAGGATAAATGAAGATATTGCACATGTTGGATTTTAATAACAAATTTGTTAAATATTATATTTTAAGTATGATTATATAAATAAATTATATTAAACTTTAAATTTATTTAATAATAGTTTTTTGGAGAAATAATTGATGTGATATTTCAATCATTGTACTTCCATTTATGTACAAATTATTTTCTCTCTTTAGGGAAGTTAATTATATTAGCTGCATGCTAAAACCATGAGACCATGACCAAATCTCTTGTGCTCTAGTAGGGGTGAGAAAAAAAATCAAGTAACCCTAAAATCGATTTAAAATTATAGTGTTTGATTCAATTTGGATCATTTTTTTTTATTTAGTTTGGATCAAATTTAGATATTAAATATATATTATATTCAGATCAAATTTCAAATCATGAGATGAAAAATAAAAAAAAAGAACCGAATTATATATAATTTTTAATTTTTACATATATTTTTAATTTTTATAAAATAAAAATAATAATTTTATATTAAAATAAATATAAAAATTAAAAACTAATAAATCGGACGAACCGATAAAGTTCAAATCGATTAAAAGTTGTTTGATTCGAATTTGAACTAAATTTTAAATTTTCATATTACTATACAATATTTTTAAAAAATTAAACTAAATTTGATCCAAACTGTTATCACCTTTATTCTACAGTACTTCGTTTATGTAATAAACCAACTCATTATTAATTCACTCTCCAGCTTAGTGTCTTTGTATTGAGAAAAACATTGAATTTTGAGATGAGAAATTAAACAAGTTGAAAGAAAATATACACTACTAGTAAATACTTTAAAAAATCCAATATTTTAACTTTTTTTAGAATTAATGCCTTTTGTCTTTTGTAGAGTCCAACCACAAGTAACTCATGTACAAGTTGATGGACATATTTTCTTGTTCTGAAGCAGAATATGATCATTTTGAGTTATTTTTTTGCTTGTTATCCTCTACGTTTTAGATTATGCTCTTTTGGCTTTAGCAAGACATAACAAATCCAATTTATAACTCTTGGAACATTTCGTTTAAAGATTGATATAAGCATGTTTTACTTTTGAACTCGAATTTTTTAAAAATAATTATATAAATTAATTAAATTAAATTTAAAATTCATGTATGATTAAAAAATTTGACAAATATTTTCGAATACAAAATTTTCAAGTTCATGTTGGATGATTTCAAATTTTAACTAAAATATTATTAGTTACTAAACTAGATTTTCTATTACAGTTAATATCAATTTAGTCCTCAATGTGTATGATAATTGATAAAACCTTCCTAAAAAGCGCCAACAAGTGCAATCCCCTTTGGGCCAATGATTTCAGCTATACGAAACGAAGTTCTCAGCCCAAATTTTAATTAAAGCTGGGAAAGTTTTTGAATGAGGGCCCAGGAGTTAAAGCATGGGCCCCCATTTCCTAATGTGGCAAAGGGCATCGAACATTTTTCAGATTATTAAATAAATTTCAAAATGTTTTTTTACATTAAAAACTATTGATCTTTAATACTAATATAAAATATTTTATAAATAATTTAATAATAAATTGACTAAAATTAACTTAACTGAGTTTAAATAGACGAGTTGAGTCAAACCTTGAGTAAAAATTTAAAAATGTTAATTAGACCCACTGGCCGGCTACAGACACCTTTTATTCAACAAAAGTTTCATCATATTTTATTATATTAATCCATTTAATTTTGGATTCACCTGTCTTTTTTTATCCCTCCCACGTCCTACTTGGGTTTAATTACTTTTGTGTCATAGAACATCTGTAGATCCCATCATGGGAAACCTGATGAAGCTTACTCTTTGATCATTTGGCCATCTCACCATTCCATCAATCCTGTTTTTGATGTTTATGGCCATGCCTGGGGGCACTTGTATCTATAATTTTTTTTAATATGAAAATTTTGGATAAATAAATTATTCAATTTTTTTTATTAAAATAAAATGTATCATATTCAATAATTTAAAATAAATATTTAAAAATTAAATATTTAAAATCATTTTAATAAATTATTATTGACTGAATTCGAATTTAAATTTTTTATATTGAGATAATAATTTTTCATTAATTAAGTTGATCGCTTGTTCTTATTTGTGTGTATAATTGTATGATGAGAATTTTATCCTCAAAATTCACTTTGTTGATTTTCGTCCTGTATCTATTTCTATACATGATTCGGCATTTTTAATCTGAAAGGTTTTATTGGTCTTGCAACTTACATGGTAGTAAAAAAATGTCTAATCCAGACTTTATCTCTTTTCTTTTCTTCAGTGGCCCGATTTCGTCTCCCATGCATGTTCCCACCACCAAAACCCATTTTTATTGGTCCACGTGCCTTTTCCCCGCCAAACTCGGATGACCACTCCGTCCTTCGAAAATCCACGTCCCTCCACGTGGATTCTCTTTCTTCTATATTTTCCATTTCCCCTCTCCTCCTTTTTTTCCTTTTTAATTATATTTTCCCCTTAAATTTACCCAATCTCTGCCCCCTCCACCCCCTTCCCCCAAAAAAACCAGCTGAGCTCCGACCCATCTCCATCTTCAAATCTAAACCCCCCCCCCAACCAGAGGAAAAAACAGGGAAACAGGGATTGCAGAGCAATGGGGATATATTATGGCATGGTAGCGAGGGGGCAGGTGGTGTTGGCGGAGTTTAGCGCGACCCAAGCAAATGCGAGTACAATCTCGAGACAGATATTAGAGAAGATGAACGAAGCAAAGAATGATAGCAATTCTTCGTTTTCGCATGATCGTTATATTTTTCATGTGAAGAGAACCGATGGCCTCACCGTTCTTTGCATGGCGGATGATGCCTCTGGAAGTATGTTGCTCATAAAATTATTTCATATTTATTAGGGGGTTATTATACCTTGTTAGCTTTTAAATTGTGTTTCGTACTATTTACCTTCCTGATAGGTTTCATGTTGATATTATGTGTAGGGAGAATCCCTTTTGCTTTCCTTGAAGATATCCATCAAAAGTTTGTTAAGACCTATGGTCGTGCTATTCTTTCAGCTTCAGCTTATGCCATGAATGATGACTTCTCCAGGGTCCTGAGTCAACAAATGGAACATTTCTCAAATGATCCGAACGCGGATAGATTAAACCGTTTGAAAGGGGAAATGAGCCAGGTAAAATTTTCGAATATAATGTGTTTCTTTGAAACATGGATTTCATTTTTATAGTTTTGTACATATAGGTACGGAGTGTAATGATTGACAACATTGAGAAAGTTTTGGAGAGAGGTGACCGCTTGGCGTTGCTGGTTGAAAAGACAAGTACGATGCATGGGAATTCACTTCGGTTCAAAAGGCAATCTCGTCGTTTCAAAAATTCTATGTGGTGGAGACATTGTAAGTTCACGTAAGTATGCATTGAAAGATTTTTGGTGGGGTTGATTCAATTCCATTTCAGTTCCAGTATTGAAATTGTTGTTGTTGTTGTCTTGCAGAGCGACATTGATACTACTGCTTCTGTTGATCATCGCATATGTTCTGCTCACGTTTGTTTGTCATGGATTCTTTTTGTCGTCCTGCATATGATGTAACACGGTAGCGGCTTTCATGGTTTGTCAATTATTTTTTTGGTCTTGTGATGTATTGGAAATGCTATTCATGGACAATTTTTTCCATCAAATTTTCTCACGTTTAGCAGAGCTGTCAGCTGTGTTTCTGTAAATGCCTGTAATGATACAAGTTTATAAGATAAATATTTTGCCAATTTTGAATTTTAAATAGAGTTAATTATAATTTTAATACCTGAATTTTTAAAAAATATATAAATTGATATCTAAATAAACAAAATATACAATTTACCCCTTAAAATTTCAAATTGTATAATATATTAACTAAAACTCTAGTTCTATTAACCATATTAGCTTATACATGTAACATTGGACATATATTATCAAGTTATGTGTTCACCACACATATTATCAATATTTTTTTAATATAAATTAAATATACATATTTTTTACTTTAACTGTAAAAATTATTTAATATCAATCAATATTTTTTGTCATGTGATATTTACATGAAAGTTTTTATATAATATTTAACATTTTTATTTAACAAATAATATACATATAACAAAATTATATTAATTAAATGTTATATAGGCTAATTATAATAACAATAGTAGAATTTGAATTAAAATAATACATTATTTAAAAATTTAGAAGGTAAATTATATATTTTATTTTTTAAGTACCAATTTGTATATTTTTTTAAAATTTAAGTACCAAAAATATAATTAACTAATACGTAAATAATTCAAATTATTTTTATTAATGTACTAAAATTGAATAATAAATAACAAATTTGATCTTTAAATTAAATTGTACATTATAAAAATTTAAAAATAAAACTAAGTAAAAGTTTGTACATATCTATTTGATACGCACAAATCTTCAAAAAGTTGCAAAATCTTTGTAAGAGCATACCAATAACAACACTTCAAAGTATACAAGTTTCATGATCAATTTCACTTTCAGTAGACTTTTTGGCAAACTCTTTGCTTAGGTATTACCACCATATCTAATTATCATTATTCAACCCTAAAATAGTTGAAACAAATTTTGTTAAACAAGCTTAACGAGTTTCAAAGGAGAATATTTTTTATTAGCCTAGGAATTATAGTAACCATCAGAACTCCCCAAAGGTGTCGAAGAGAGAAAATCAATTATTTGTCTAAGAGATCTCAACTATGACTTCCTTTCAAAACCACCAATAAATACATATATATTAATTTTAAAAAATTAATTATTTGCCGAAGAATCTAACATCCAAGGCTTATGCTGCTTTCATGGCCAAGACAAAAAAAACAGATGGAGTGAAACATAGTGACGATTCTTGGTTGATGAAAGATAGTTAAGAAATCAAACTTAGCTTGGATAATTACTAATTTTTTATTTAATTCGAACAAATAAATTACGGATTCGGCTAAAAGAATATTAAATTTCTTATAAAATCAAAGTAATTACTTGAAAATTATCAGCAAGGTAAGAATATTCTTTCTATGAGGGGAACATGTCACATATCCTTTAGGTTCGATTTGGATTTATTGTAAGAGGATATTTATCATGAGAAAACTCTTTGGGGTTTGTGAGTTGTAAAATGTCACCGAATATTTAAATTTTGTTTGATAAGATATTATTGTATATTTTGAATAAAGATATTAATGAATTATATGCTTTTAAGGTTTTCGAAATTTGTCTTTGAAATGCCAGATGAATTTAATAATACTATTATTTATGGAACTAGCTATCTCATAATTTGCGCAATAAGAATGATTTTTAAAAAATAAAAAATCGTAATCTAAATATAAGAAAATTTTAAGTGTTAAAATTTAAATTCAAAATATGACATCTTTTACTTGAATTTATCCGTGGGTGCTGAGGGAAAGGACATTTTTTTTTTTCCATATAAATGTGGTATATGATTGCATTTTTTACTTGAACACAAGGGTTGCCTCTTCGTGTGTCTATGCAAAGAAAATGGAGGGGAAGCTCTATGAAGCAGCGGTAGAGGGAAGTGTCATTTCTTTGCTTAATTTGCTTCATGGGGATGCATTGCTTCTTGACAGATTTATCACCGGCTGTTACCCTGAAACACCTTTGCATATAGCTTCTATGGTTGGACATGCAGAATTTGTGGAAGAAATTGTCACTCGAAAGCCTGAATTAGCTGAAGAACTTGACTTACGAAGATCATCACCACTTCACTTAGCATCTGGAAAAGGGCACCTCAACATAGTGAAAAGATTGCTCCAGGTTAATGCTGACATGTGCCTTGTTTGTGACAGAGATGGTAGAAACCCTCTGCACGTTGCTGCAATCAAGGGTCGTATGAATATTTTGAGAGTTTTGGTTCAAACCAGACCCAAAGCAGCTCGAATGCTGATAGATGGGGAAGAAACCATTTTGCATGTGTGTGTGAGGTATAACCAGCTGGAGGCACTGAAGTTCTTGCTGGGAACTATTGCCGATCATGAATTTGTCAATTTCAGGAATTCTGAAGACAATACTATCTTGCATCTAGCTGTGGCTGACAAACAAATCGAGGTACGCTTGATAATCAACAAAGGAATCAGGGTCTAACAAATTAGTTCAACTCCCTGTAAGTAACTTCAGAAAAAATTTGTCATGAAATTTGTTCAATCTATTGCCAGAGTCTTTATTTAGACATGGAATTAAGTGAAATTCCAGTAGTTGAGGAAGTTATAACTTGAATTTGCTAACTACCCTTATTGCTATCATCATCGACTGCATAGTTTTTGTTGTTTGGTGCCTGATCCCATACGGAATATATGAACATTTAATCATTGATCATTTGTTATAACCTAAGTTCAATAATCAAATTGCAGGTTGTAAACTTTTTGATTGCAACTACCACAGTAGAAGTGAATTCTATAAATGCAGATGGCTTTGCACCGATGGATCTTTTGTTACAAGATGAAAGATATCCAAAATTTATGGCAATTTCAAGGTCTCTTCAATGTGTTGGAGCTGTGCGTTCAAAGGATACCTATTTATCAAAGCATAAACTTAAAGATGTAAGAACCAAGATCTTATCTCCACCTACATGTTATCAAATGAATGTTTCTTACTCCAAATATAAAGTTTCAAAGAATATTAATGGTAAGAGGCACGATGATAATTGGCTAGGAAAAAAGCGAAGTGCATTGATGGTGGTAGCATCACTGCTTGCTACCATGGCTTTCCAAGCTGGTGTCAACCCCGCTGGTGGTATTTGGCAAGACGACTCTCAAGTTGACTCCACATCAAAGCCGCACAAGGCAGGAAGTTCCATCATGGCAGATACTCATCCAATTCAATATAAATATTTCCTGGTTTACAACTCCGCAGGTTTTATGTCATCTTTCGGCATTATCCTATTGCTCATGAGTGGATTACCATTAAACGGGAGATTTGTCGTGTGGATTTTCATGGTGATTATGTGGGTTGCTTTATATGCAATGTCAATGTCATATCTGATTTCAATTTTTGGTTCAATACCTTTTGGTGACTCCACAGTGCCTTTGAAAGTAATACATGGTTCGTATGGCAGTTGGATCGGCTTCGTTTTGCTGCTTCTTCTGTGGCATATAATTCGTTCGACAACCAAGATGATACGGTATCTTAGAAAAATGATGAGAGAAAGAGAGACCAACTTCATGCTCTATGGTTATTGTGAGCCATGCCAAGTTTAATGCGCAAAATCTTTTCGTCTTTCGGGTGAAATTCCCAATTTAAGCTCAAATTTTTTACAAGGTAAAAGTGTGCAAAGTTCTATATATGGTTTGTAAACTAATTTCGAAATCATGAACTGTTCCAACCTTACCTTAATGTTTGAAAGGTTCTCTAAACTACCATCTAAACCCCACCCTCTACCGAAAAGTGAAGACTTGAATCCTGAAACCTGAGAAAAGATCTCGGATGCGTCTCCAAAGATCAGCGGTGCCACTGATTCAAAGCTCAATTGGCAGTAATAATTCCTCATAAAGCAATACATTCTGTAAACTTCACAGTTGTCACTCAGCAGTATCCATTGGCTTATTCACCTTCGTAATACCTGAATATGGAAAGTGAATTATTTCTTGCGTTGATGCATTTTCTTTGGTAGCTTTCTCATTTATAGCTTGGAGAGGGAAAAAAAAACTATACTACATCCCATTCCAACTCAAAACTTGTTTAATCAAAACAAGAGAAGGATGTTGTAAATAGAAGTATCAAAAGAGAGACACCGAACGATTGTCTAATCAACCTGTACCAGCACTTACTTGGAAAAAGTATCTTTGCCTTAGAGAAACTGAGTAATATACGAGACATTCTTGCATAAGTTTTCATTCATCATTTCTAACAAAGTGGGTTTCCTGGCATCTTTTAGCATCATCCTGTTGCTTATAAGTGGATTACCATTAAGGTGTAGGTTCTTTATGTGGGTTGCCATAACTGGGATGGCATATCTGGTATCTATCTCAGCTTTCACACCTCAAGATGCAGACTATTTGCAACTCAACAAAATAATAAATGCAGTACTGTTCGCTCGGCTTGACGCTCCTGCTTCTTCTTGGACACACTATTCGGCTGACAATCAGATTGATAATGTATCTGCTGAAAATATTTTCCAAAGAGCTAATTACAATTTTGGTACTTGAACTTTGAAAAAAATGTTCAAATTGTTATGAAAAAAATAAAATCAACAGCTTGTATCCTAAACTTTCAAATAATGTATATCTTAAAATTTTAAATTATGTATCATTTTAATTTAATTTTAATCCCTTTAATCTAATCGGCCTATATATATAATATTTAATAAAAATTATCAAATTATATATTTGTTATACATATTATCAATATTTTTTAATATAAATTAAAAAAATATATTTTACCTAAACTTTTAAAATTGTTTAGGATCGATCACTCATTTTTTATCACATGACATTCATGCGAAGATTTTTATAAAATATTTAATACTTTTATTTAATAAATAAATAAAATAAAATTATATTAGGTAAATACTATATAAATAAGTTAATTTAATGATATTAAAATTTAAATTATAATGATTTATTATTTAAAAATTTATAGTGCAAATTATATGTTTTATTTCTTTAAATAGTATATTTTCTCAAAATTTAAACATCACAAGTGCAATTATTTATTTACAAATATAGGTCTATAAGAATTATTTATTACCTTTATGGAAAACTGAAAATTCAGTGTTAAAGTCCCTGACCAAGTCTTCCCACTAACTTCCGATCCTTCCTTAAACTTGATTCGAGAAACATCAGTGAACAGGGACAAGATTGATTGTTTTTAAGCGAAATTATGCATCGGATTCATAAACTAATTACAGATCTAAAGAAATTCGCCAAAAAAAACAAGATTTGATAAGAGAAAAAGGAAAAGAAAAGAAACCCAGCATGTAACTTTTTTAGGGACTTCAACATCGATTTTTCGGTTTCCAGGTATTCTTGCAAACCTGCCCATAGAAGAGGGGAAAAGAAACTTGAAAGAACCAACGCATTAAAGTTAGCAGCTTCAATTTACAATACAATGTATCAATTATGTACAAATATTAACAGTAACAGCGTTGAAGTTGGTGAAAAGGCACTATTGACTGAATTATTAGTTTAAAGACAATTACGTGATAGGTTAATTTCCACAAGTACAGGATTTCTAAGGGAAGAAAGGATTAAACTTTACAGTAAATCAGAAAATCAATTACCACTTGCCAGGTCGACGAAATCATCATCAATGAGCCAGTTATTTGACTCCTCACCTTCAGCGTTGACTGCTTTCTGCAAGCCACCACGAGTTTCCGGCTACTTGTTCAGCTGAACCCAGCCATTGGATACACTAGATGAAGAAATTTTATCCTACAGTGTCGATTTAGGCACCGATACTCTATTAGAAAGATAATTATTATCGTCTTCCAGATCACTGAACGAAACATCCTCTCCATATTCCAGGTTTTTCTTGATACTCACAGAACTTCGACTGGAAATATCTGCTTCTTCCAACCATTGCTCAGCATTCTCTTCACCGGCAATCTCTAATCCTTCTGCTGCTATAACGATTTCAGTGACCTTTCCCTCCGAGGAGACATTCTCTCGTTTTGTCTCACTAACTTTGCCACTCTCTTAAGATGCATCGAAACTTCTATTCTCAATCTGTGCATTCTTATTGTTTTGCAGCTTCTGCAGAAGTGAATCGTTAGTTTCAACAACCTGCAACATAAGTAGACCTTCAATGAAAATGGTTTCGATTGCATAGAAATTAGTTACAATGGAGCAAAAAAAAAAAAAAAAAGGCCACCGGAGAAAATGTTGGCAGAGTTGAATCTTTCGCTCGCCTTTTCTTTTTCTTCATTGACCCGACTCCCTCTTCCATTCAAGTCCCCACCACCAAACCCATTTTGATTGGTCCACATGTCATTTCTGCCAAAGTAGGATGAAAATCCATCGTCCTCCTTTTCCAATGCCCTTCGAAAATCCACCTCCCTCCACGTGGATTCCCTTTCTTCTATGTTTTCATTTCCCCTCTCCTCCTTTGTTTCTTTGTAGTTAAATTTTCCCCTTACCCAATCTCTGTCGAAACAAAAAAACCGGCCTCCGAGCTCCGATCCATCCCCATCTTCAAATCTAAACCCCTCCCCCCTCCCCCCAAAAAAAATTACAGGGAAAAAGGTGACCAGTAATTCAGATAAACAGAGGAAAAAACAGGGGAGACAGAGGGTAGCAGAGCAATGGGGATATTTTACGGGATGGTGGCGAGGGGGCAGGTAGTGTTGGCGGAGTTTAGCGCGACCCAAACAAATGCGAGTACTATCTCGAGACAGATATTGGAGAGGATGGACGAAGCAAAGAATGATAGCAATTCATCGTTTTCGCATGATCGTTATATTTTTCATGTTAAGAGAACCGATGGCCTCACCGTTCTTTGCATGGCCGATGATGCCTCTGGAAGTACGTTGCTCATAAAATTATTTCATATTTATTTCTTTCATTGATTTACTGTTGTTTATATACATAGAATGATAGAAATTTTCATTGGTTATTATCTCTTGTTAGCGTTTAAATTTTGCTTCGTATTCACCTTCCTGATAGGTTTGATGTTGATATTATGTGTAGGAAGAATCCCTTTTGCTTTCCTTGAAGATATCCATCAAAATTTTGTTAAGACCTACGGTCGTGCTATTCTTTCAGCTTCAGCTTATGCCATGAATGATGAATTCTCCAGGGTCTTGAGTCAACAAATGGAATATTTCTCGAATGATCCCAATGCCGATAGATTAAACCGTTTGAAAGGGGAAATGAGCCAGGTAAAATTTTCGAATATAAATGTGTTTCTTTGAAATATAGATTTCATTTTTGTACATACAGGTACGGAGTGTAATGATTGACAATATTGAGAAAGTTTTGGAGAGAGGTGACCGCTTGGCGTTGCTGGTTGAAAAGACTAGTACGATGCATGGGAATTCACTTCGGTTCAAAAGGCAATCTCGTCGTTTCAAAAATGCCATGTGGTGGAGAGATTGTAAGTTCAGGTAGTAAGTATGCATTGAAAGATTATAGGTGGGGTTGATTCATTCCATTTCAGTTCCAGTATTGAAATTGTCGTTGTTGCTGCTGTTGTCTTGTAGGGCGACATCGATACTACTACTTCTGTTGATCATCGCATATGTTCTGCTCACGTTTGTTTGTCATGGATTCTTTTTGTCGTCCTGCATGATGTAGCACGGCAGCGTGGTTTGTCAATTTTTTTGTCTTATGATATATTGGTAATGCTATTCACGGACAATCTGGCCATGAAAATTTTTCATGCTTAGCAGAGCTGTCAGCTGTGTTTCTGTAAATGCCTGTAATGATACAAGTTTATAAATCTTGGCATAAGATAAATATTTTGCCAATTTTGAAGTCTAAACATCATTCTCCGAGGGGATGAAAAATTTATAGGAAAAACCAATTCTTTCTATAGACTTGCATGATAGAAAAGAAGGAAAATTGGACGGATTAAAAAAAGACAGGGTTTCGATTTAACATTAATTAAGGTAAGGATGGAACAGTTCATGATTTCCAAATTAATTTACAGATGATATATAAAACTTTGCAAAATTTTACCTTGTAAAAAAGTTACACTTAAATTGAGAATTTCTCTTGAAAGACTGAATGATTTATGCGCTTTAAACTTTGGCATGACTCACAATGACCATTGAGCATGAAGTTGGTCTCTCTTTCTCTCAGCAATTTTCTAAGATGTCGAATTATTTTGATTATCAATTGAATTGAAAACTTATAAAGAGCACTTTGAGTTTAAAAAAAAATGAAAATGGAAGGCTCAAATTGAAAACCTGTAAAGGGAAGTTTGAGTTGAGAAAAAAAAAATGTAAAATGATGATCATATGACAAATATAATGTAATTGTATATTTTTTTAATTTATTTTAAAAATGTCAAAATAAGAGAAAAGAAGATGATTTGAGAAAAAAAGGCAATCAATATAAGACAAGTCTAATACAAAAATAAATAGGTAAAGAAATAAATTCAAAGCGTGTTACTAAGATAAATATTTAAATGGTATAATTAAGATGTCAAATCATCTTGATTATTGATCGAATTATACGACCCACAAGAAGCAGCAAAACCAAGCAGATCCAAACGTAATACGAACCGGTTGTTACTTTGAAAGGCACTGTGTCATAAAAAGGTGTTGGACGGTAAACTGAAAGCAGATAGGACATTGACATTGCATATAAAGCAGCCCACATAATCATCATAAAAATCCACACGACAAACCTCCGTTTTAATGGTAATCCACTCATGAGAAACAGGACGATGCTTATAGATGACATAAAACCTGCTGTGTTGTGAGCCAGGAAATAATTATATAGACTTGGATTAGTATCTGCCATGATTGAACCTCCTGCCTTGTGCGGATTTGATGTGGAGTCGCCTTGAAAGTCGTCTTGCCAAATACCACCAGAAGGGTTCACACCAGCTTGGAAAGCCATGGTAGCAAGCAGTGATGCTACCACCATCAATGAACTTCGCTTTTTTTCTAGCCAATCATCATCGTGGCTCTTACCATTAATATTCTTTGAAACTTTATATTTGGAGTAAGACGCATTCATTTGATAACATGTAGGTGGAGATAAGATCTTGGTTCTTACATCTTTAAGTTTATGCTTTGATAAATAGGTATCCTTTGAACGCACAGCTCCAACACATAGAAGAGACCTTGAAATTGCCTTGAATTTTGAATCTCTTTCTTCTTGTAACAAAAGATCCATCGGCACAAAGCCATCTGCATTCAGAGAATTCACTTCTACTGTTGAAGTTGCAATCAAAAAGTTTACAACCTACAATTTGATTATTGAACTCAGGTTATAACAAATGATCAATGATTAAATGTTCATATCAACTACCGGAATTTCATTTAATTCCATGTCTAAATAAAGACTGGCAATAGATTGAACAAATTTTAGTACAAATCTTTTTTGAAGTTAATTACCTTGAGTTGAACTAATTTGTCAGACCCTGATTCCTAAGTTGATTATCAAGCGTACCTCAATTTGTTTGTCAGCCGCAGCTAGATGCAAGATAGTATTGTCTTCAGAATTCCTGAAATTGACAAATTTATGATCGGTAATAGTTCCCAGCAAGTACTTCAGTGCCTCCAGCTGGTTATACCTCACACACGCATGCAAAATGGTTTCTTCCCCATCTATCAGCATTCGAGCTGCTTTGCGTCTGGTTTGAACCAAAACTCTCAAAATATTCATACGACCCTTGATTGCAGCAATGTGCAGAGGGTTTCTACCATCTCTGTCACAAACAAAGCACATGTCAGCATTAACCTGGAGCAATCTTTTCACTATGTTGAGGTGCCCTTTTCCAGTTGCTAAGTGAAGTGGTGATGATCTTCGTAAGTCAAGTTCTTCAGCTAATTCAGGCTTTCGAGTGACAATTTCTTCCACAAATTCTGCGTGTCCAAGCATAGAAGCTATATGCAAAGGTGTTTCAGGGTAACAGCCGGTGATAAATCTGTCAAGAAGCAATGCATCCCCATGAAGCAAATTAAGCAAAGAAACGACACTTCCTTCTACAGCTGCTTCATAGAGCTTCCTCTCCATTTTCTTTTCATAGACACACGAAGAGACAACCCTTATGTTCAAGTAAAAGATATAATTACTTACCAACAAATTATTGATTTAATTGATTAAGATTCTTTTTTTTTTTTATAAAATGTATGAATTCAAGTTTTATCGGTGATTATTTATTAAAATCATTTCGATTAATTTATAATTATATTTATTTTAAATTATCAGATATGACATATTTTATTTTAATTTTAAAAACTAATAAACTTATCTACTCCAAAATTTTTCTTACAAAAAAAATATACAATCATACACCACATTCATACCTAGTTCAATAAATAATAGTATTAAGGAAAAAGATCTGTATAAAACCATTACTCCACGCCGGCGCATATCTCTTTCATTCAAATATATCACGTGATCGCACTATTAAAAAAAATTAATTATTCATTACATATAGCATGCATGTAGTCTGATACTCATGGGTCATTTCACTGCAAATTTCGAGAACCTGAAAACATATAATTCATTAATATCTTTATCCAAAATATAAAATAATATTTTAAACAAAATTTAAATATTCGGTGACATATACACGACTCACAAACCCCAAAGTGTTCTCATGATAAATATCATCTGACGGTAAATCCCAAATCGAACCTAAGAGATGTGTGAGCCTCTGCTTCGCTTGTGTATCGTGTCCTTGTTTGCAACAACGTTCCTTAGTTTGCAAGAGTACTACCAAATTGACTCATACTATTTGTTAGTATTATATTTGACCTGTTTCCCTTATAGAAAGAATATTCTTACCATCCTCCTGAAAATTTTCATGTAATTACTTCGATTTCATATGAAATTTAAGGTTTTTTTTTTTTTGTCAGAATCATGTCTGGGTTTCATCCAAATGATTCAAGTACTTGCTCGATCAATTGTCTAGCTGGGTGTAGGTTTTTTTATAAGTTGCCTGCTTTGGTGCTTCCGTTGGATGTTGTTTCTAACCCATGTTTTTGTTTGTTCATCCATTTGCTAATGACAACTATGTCTGATAAAACTATCTGAACCATGTATCTTTGGAGTTAACTACCAGGATTGAATTAAAACCCATCTTTCTTATGTTGAGTGAATTAAAGAAGTTAATTTGAAAAAGACACTGGTATATTTTTGTAAGATAAAGTTGTAACTGAAAAGCAGAACATTTTTATGCGTGCCAAAACCCAAGAAAGAAACTTTAAGGAAAGAGAATTAATGAAAAGTTGCATTTGCTAACATCTTTTCTTATCAACGCTGCAAGCAAAGAGGATTGCTTTCATCTTATATCACATGTTACACGCAGAAAGAAAGGAAAAGAAAATGAAGCAAGAAATGAAAGAATCAACGCATTAAAGTTGGCAGCTTATATTTACAAATCAATGTATCAATTATGTACAAATATCAACAGCAACAGCCTTGAAGTTGGCGTCTTTGAAGGCACTAATGACTGAATTATATATTGAAACACAATTATGTGATAGGTTGATATCCACAAGTACAGAATTTCGGTGGGGGGGGGGGTGGTGAGGATTAACTTTACAGTAAATCAGAAAATCAATTGCCACTTGCCACGTCTACGAAATCATCATCAGTGAGTCTGTCAGTTGACTCCTCAACATCAGAATCTTTATCTCGAGAGTTTGATTGGCCTGATTTTCTGCAAGCTGCCACGAGTTTCCGGTCTCTTGTTCAGCTGAACCCAGTCATTGGATCCACTAGGTGAAGAAGTTTTATCCTGCTGTGCCGATTTAGGCGCTGATACTCTATTAGAAAGATAATTATCATCATCTTCCAGATCACTGAACGAGACATCCTCTTTATGTTCCAGGTTTTTCTTGAAACTCACAGAACTTCCACTGGAAATATCTGCTTCTTCCAACATTGCTCAGCATCCTCTTCACCGGAAATCTCTAATCCTTCTGTTGCATTAACAATTTCAATGACCTTTTCCTCCGAGGAGAGATTCTCTTTCTTTGTCTCACTGACCTCGTCACTCTTTTGAGAAGCATCAAGACTACTATTCTCAATCTGTGCATTCTCATTGTTTTGCAGCTTCTGCAGAATTGCATCTCTAGTTTCAACAACCTGCTACATAAGTAAACCTTCAATGAAAATGGTTTTGATTGCATAGAAATTAGTTACAATGGAGCAAATACACACATGTACTGCTGCGTATTGGAGATAAAAGAGAAAATGCTACTGGAGAATATCTTGTCAGAGTTGAATCCTTCCCTTGCTTTTTTGCATTACATATGTATTTGATTATATTCACTATGAGATGGGGAGCAACACAAAGCAGAAGCACTTCTTATGGAAATGAAGAATGGAATAGAGTTGGAGAGTGTATGATATGTAGCAGAAGATGCAGATCATAGATTCTTTGCCTTCTAAAAAACCACCGCTTTGCATGCAAACGCGTCGCTTGCTTATGCACATCTACTCTAGTGACATAAGTTACCGAAAATACAAGATTAATATAAGAGAAAAATCTCATTATCACCAAGTTATTTATCTATCAACAGTTGTTGCCGAAAGTTTCTTTTTTTTCTGTTTTTGCCTTGATTTTGGAAACAATTCTACTTTTAAGTTTTAACTTCCGTTTACTTCTTTCTCCTTTCGGTTTTTGGCAGTTAAATATGCTCCATACGTCACCGTTTCTCGCCGTTTTAGACTTCTAGCTTCATCTTTTTTTTTTTTTTGGGATAAGAGATTCTTTATTCTTTATTCTTTTTTTTTTTTAATTTATATTTCCATTTCATCAATAATTAGTAGCTTGCTTTGCTATTGCCATTATCAAGTAAATAAACAAGTATAATAATAAATGCCAGCAAGCTGTGGTGGGCCTTGATATTTGCCTTGTTTTCTTTCCATAACTTGAATTCAAGAGCCAAGAGACAAGAGGAGCACATTTGGTAGAACGAATTTACCTTTGCCTACCTGCTGGCTTCTGCAATGGTTGCAGCAGGGATTATATCTATTGAATATCTATTATTGGTCATCAACAACAACCACAAGCCAGCAGCATGTGACCATTCATAATAATACAGATAATTTTACTCCCATTAACAAACTAATAACCAACCAAGAGCCATCAATTTCAAACTCATGCCTCTATAGTAAGCGTGTGGGAACAGTTCAAAATATTACAAATAATTTCTGACTGAAAAAAGAAAGGGACAATCCTGAAAGCAAACATGAAAGCTCCTGCTCCAGCATCAACAGCATTTAAAGCATTATTATCAATCTTCATCATGGAAAATAATCAATAATAAAATGCTCTCTCTCTCTCTCTCTCTCTCTCTCTCTCTCTAATAATAATAATAAAAAAAAAAACTTAATCTAGCTAACTACAGCACACTCACAAACATATGATACACAATTTCCTATTCTACAAGCATTTTCCATCCTCAAAATTCACAGCTGACAATTCACATGTTTCTTCTTTACTGTTCTTCCAGGTAACGCATCTATGTAAGGCCTGAATAAGGATTGTATGCTTGAACAGGCATACCTGAGCTGTTAGGCTGGACATGGGCTCCATAAGGATTGCCAAAAGGATTTGAAGGCTGCTGTTGTGTGCCCATCATCATCATCATCTGCTGCTGCTGCTGCTGCTGCTGCTGCAACATAAACACCTGCTGATGATTGGCCATTGCTGCCATCTGGACTGAAGGAGGAGCAACAACCATGTTGGAGGCATAAAAGGGGTCATGCGCTGGTTGTTGCATCATGGCACCAGACATAGGAGCTGGTTCCCATGGATTATAGCTCATATTTTGGTTGCTTCTTCTGATTGCATCATCGTACAGGCTGTCCAGTGTAAGCTTGTCAAGTCCTCCGGCCTTTCAATTAATACATTTAAAATAGTATCAGTTAGACATATATGTTATGTTATTTATGTATGAGTGGACACACATGTTTATAATCCTGGACAAAACCATTACAGTGTAATATGTGACAGCCTTGTAATATAGCACACAATTTGAAAGGTTCATAGAGGAGAGACAACGGAAGTAAAAGTACCAGTTTGCTAGCAGCAGCAGCACTGTCGTTTGAGCTTGGAGCAGTGACAAGTGCCAATTCCCAGCCAGAAGTACCATTTGCTTGAACAGGAGCAGCAGCAGAAGTTTGCTCAGCTGGAACACACCACCGTGGAAACATAAACACAATTTCCCAACAAGAAATAAACCAATGAAGCAGAGTTGAACCAATTTAAAACAAACCAAGAGAAACTGCTTCGGAGCTTATAAATTCAAAGATGTAAGACAGACTTGAAACTATTCAAGTTTGTTTTATGTGGTTAAAAACAGTAGAAAAGGAGGTTGTTGAAGTTTCATGCTGTGTATCATTGAGTTACTATAAAGGACTCAAACTCACCAACAGGAACAATAGCCAATGCTAATGCATTCTTCTCATCTAATTCTGAAGTAACTGGAACAGGATCATTTAAACCCTAACAACAAAAAGAAGAGCTCATAATGAAACTAGAAAAAAAAAAAACAGATGAACTGCCAAGTTCTGATATATCAATATAGTAGCTAACAAGAACAGAAAGAGACTAAGAAGTTCATAATGCAACTAGAAAAAATTCAGATGAACTGCCAAGTTCTCATCTAACAATGTAGTAGACTACGGAATTACCAACAAATCAGGCGGTTCAACAATAGGCTCTTCCACTTTCTCCACTTTTTCTGGTTCAGGTGGAGGAGGTGATGGTGAACTTTCCTCCCGCACCTCTGGGGTTTTCTTGTTCTCAATGGCCAACACTTCCTTGGGTTCATCAGCCTGCTTGTTCACAAATAAAATGTGTGACAGTAATCATCACAAACTTTTCTAAGATTAACAGGAAGTAGTAAATTTCAAAACTGGAGTTTTATAAACAATTACAAGAACATATATCATAGAGATGGTAATAGAATATTATATATAAACATTAACTCAAGGGACAGAACAACAGTGAACATTGCATTGATTCATATACTTTATAGGAATCTGACTTCAACCTACATATAATTGTCTAGATCTGCACAAATGGGTGAATCATCATTCATTTAAAGAAAATGAACAATCACAACTCTCTCAACTTATTTTGCCAACAAAAAACTTAAAATCACATTGCTCTATTTCCACAAGCCAATCAAATGAAACTGTTATAAAATTCATAAGCTAAAGAGGATGAGGTTTACAAACATAAATACATATATATATATAATATTTAATTGCATGTATGCAAAGGCATGGAAATATATAAATATTAAAATATCTTCCAGTTCAAACCAAAATCAATTTCACAGAGAAAATTTCTAGACCTGGTCTTTGCGAACTGTTGAAGCCCGTGGAGCTTCTCTTACATACTCTTCCATGGCTTGTAGAAATGATGCAGGAGGCTTCAACAAAAAAGGCAAAAGAAAATTAGTTTTATAATGAAAACTCATGAAGATTCAAGGAAATGCAAATCTGCTTCAGAAGGCACCAAAGCTGGAGGAATTCTACCTGCTCTATCTTAATAAACCTTTCTCCACGCCCAACATCAAGACTTTTACAAACTTCGTAAAATTCTGAAAGCCTTTCCGCCTGCAAAAAAACCAAGTGTTAAATTCCCCCGAAGTTTGAACTCCCCTTCATTTACACTAGGAGATGATATTAGCATACTGGATTTACCTGTCGCCCAGATCTCCTGTATATATCCAAAGCCCTCATAGCATCAGGACGTTGCATCTCAAAGAACTGTCATTGTTCAGAGCATCATATATAAATGATTCACTGAATAAAAAAGTATCTTATTTTGAAAGTTAATACCACAGCTTACCTTGTCTACGAGATTGATTGTACCATCACTTATAGCTTGATAAATTTTGACACTTTCAGAAGCAACCTGTTTGAAATGAAAAGGACAAAGAGAAGAGAATGTCATTTCCAATTAATTCTATGAATATGGGGAGCGTAGACAGTTAGTATGTTTAAACAGTAACATACCATCGAAAGTGCTAAATGGATTACATAATTATGAACAGCTGCACCTTGTGGCTGCACAGAAATTCCATCAATATTCCCACTAAAATAAAGGGAATAAAAATGAGAAGATTTTGTAGAATATGTCGTGCAAAGAGATTTGCAGCTAATACAACCAGACACCATGTTCCCTGCCATATCCATGTATATCACAACAAGAGGCATTAAACACTCACCTGACAACCAACAACACGAAAAAGAAGCTGTTGCAGAGCTGGCAACTGCTCAAGCAACTCTTGGGTGTCCAAATCTTTAGTTCTCTGCAAGATTATTTAAATCTATGAATTCTCCAGATAGTTCAGTTTCAATAAAATTAAAGGACTTAAAAGAGACATATTCATAATTCTAACAAGAGAAAGACAACAATAAGGTCCTCACAGGGTAGTTTTATTTAGTTAAATTAATAGCCCACGGTTGTAGGTCTGCATGCAGGCTTCCAGACACTAAAAGCTAGAGGATAGATAAAAGGATGGCAGGAGAGAGGTTTCGAAATCTAGAGCAGTTTTTGATAATGATAGTTTAGAAACCATACCATGAAATGAAGCATGAAAAAAGTAGATTATTCAAGAGCTAACTTGGGGAGATATCACTAATTAATTTAAAGGGAAAAATAAAGTTCTAAGTCTAACTACTCTGAATTCTCCATCAGAGCAAATTTCACCCAACAAAAAATCCCAATCTGAGTGAATTAACTTGACATATCAATTATCCTTCACCCTTACCTTCTTCTTTTTTCTCGTATCATGCAAAAATTGGAACTCTAGACAAGTGCTATACCAAATACTACCTATGATGTTGCAGAAAAATCATTAAAGATTTTGTAGCAAAATGCCTCCCAAATAAAAACGAAAGAGATAAAAACCAGTAGTGCAGAATCAAGAATAAAGTTTATGTTGAAAAGATAAGGTTCTTACCGGGCGGTCTGTCTCAATATCATACTTCAAGACCCAGAAACATTCCAGCCTCTCCTCCACGAATAAGGCATAAGTTCGAACCCAGGCAGAATAATCCCATGCTGTGCACCAAATGGTTAAGGATTTAATAAACAAGGAATTTCATTTTTCTGAAAATAAATAGCATGCATTCTCAGAAGATAAGGTACCATTTGGGCTGGAATCATCCTTGAAATGAGACATGTTAAGCATATGGCTTCTACTTCTGCCATAGTTAATGAGTTCTTCATGAAATGTAGGGTCCACCTCCCTCAGAGCACGATGAATGACTATTAAAGTTTTCAATGCAACCTACATGCCAAACAACATTCAGTCAACCAAATTTCAGCAGCACCCGTCAATTATAATATAATTGGTAATGTCTGCAGAGATCTTTCCAATTAAACTAATAAGTCAGCATCTAAGCTCCTTGATGTTCAAGTCACCATCAAGTTAACAGAGAATCCATAAATCCATTAACAAATAATCCCTATGACGTCCTCAGTATTCACAATGATAATCTATCATAAGTCCCCAGTTTTGAAAGTACAACGCCCATGATAAAATATGTAACTGAAACTTGCAAAGAATTTTAATTACAGTACATTCATAATCTGAAATGCTGCAGGACCAAAATTTTCAATGGTCAGAAAGATCTTTGAAATAGTAAAGGCATGGAGCAGGGATATAGATGGTATCAAAAAGAATGTGTTGTCAGAGAAGAAAATATTCAAACTAGCAGTCATATATTTCTAATCAAGCACAAAATCTATGCTCAGTTTCTTGAAAACTAAAAGCTTCAATCGTTTTCAGTTTCTTTTCAGCATAAGAAACATTTCGCATTTAAAATCTTATGTCCAGTATAACATGATTGGGAACAGATAATCAATCAGATTAGTTTCTATCATTTGAACAAGAGTGATGGTCATAGATATTTTTTAAGATTTTTTAAAGCTTACAGAAAACATTAATAATAATAATAACAACAACAACAACAACAGTAGGGGTCTTTGTAATTAATCAATTATTTCGCTCTTAAAGTTTAGGCACAACTTTCATTTGCAGTAACAAGTGTTAACTCAAATTGGCACATCCCAATCTCCAGTAATCTCATTACAGTATGTTATTGCCAAGATTAACATACCGCCCAATTATGCGTCCTTGATAACCGCCTTGCAAGAGTATGGATGCAATAAGCAACATCAGCCCGAGGCCTAGCAGCTGAAATGGCGGCAAAAATTGCTGTGGAAAGGGAAAAATGGTCTTGCCTTATCTACAAATCATCCATAAAGTGCCCTCTCTATGGGCAGATCAAAACACAAACTAAATAACAGTATTACCATCCACCTTGGTGGGAATAAAAAAAATTTGAAAAGAGAACCCAGTACCCACCTCTAATGTGTTTTTCTTTTGCAGGCCGTTCATAATGATTTGTGGCCTTAACTATATTAATATCCAATTCCTGCAAAATACAAAAATGAATAACAAAAAAGGATCAGCAACATCCATAGTTGAAATAACCATCTTGACGGTTATTATTATATACAGCTAAACCCACCTTATAATCACTATTGACTTTAGCCAATGAAACAGTGGTGGTATCTTTGATGGCTCCAAGTGCTTTCCTCAAGCTCTTCTGCGTGCCACCCGCAGACATTCTCTCTCCCTCTCAATCACAAAATTCTAAAAATAAACTATCATTTAAACAACATTATTCTCCATATAAACTTCAATTTCCATCAAACTAGGCAATAAAATTCCATCAATCACAAATATTACTTCCTTGAACTCATTAAAAACATAATCTTTAACCTCAACTCTTGATTTTTGCAAAACACCAATTAAGATCTAATTATACCATAATTCATAATTGCCTATATAATCCAATAAGCACTCGTAGCTCTCATAGCACATTTTGAGAAATTCCCATCACAAACACACACAAGCACACACTCTCAACGAAGAGAATGAAGAGGCAGTAATCAATATAAAATTAAGACAAACTCCTGCAAAATTTCCCTTTTGATGCCATGAAATGAGACCAATTACATAATAAAAAACAACCAATCAAACCCAAACTAAAGATTAGAACGAAACAAAGAACCAAAATCCAGATAGCTAAACAAGAATAAAACCCCCCATCAAAACGAAAACGAAGCTAAAAAAGTTCAAAATTCAATCAAATAAAAAGTACCCACCTTTGACTTACCCTCCAAAAAGGGGAAAAGGATCTAACCAAATAAAAATGAAAAAAGAAAATCGATCAACAATACTAGAATTATGTTAATCTTCATTTTATATATTGAAAGACTAAAGGATCAAATAGAAAGTTTTACCTAAGGCAGAATCATAGAGAAAGAGAGAGAGAAATTAGCTCTGGTCATCTGGAGAGAGCAAAGAAAAGTCGAACGAATAATATTAATGAGCATTTGAGTTCTGGTTGGCTTTCTTGGGCCGTCGGCGTCGCTATTTTTTTGCTTGCAATTAGCATTATTTAAATCTTTATTTATTTTTCTTTATGTTTCATATTTTCTGTCTTTCTACGTGTCACAAGAATACGGCATTGTAAGGACTTGTCCGGTCGACTTTGTTGATAAACTAATGTGGGGGGTTCTGTTACTCTGTGTTCGCTGTCATTCTCACAATTTGCGCCCGTTTCCCAATTTTTCTTTCATTTGATTCCAAGGCTATTCTAGGTTTTAATAAATTTTACTATCACTTTGAAATTGGATTTATAATTTTAATTCAAATTCTTTCCCCTTTTTGCATTTTAATTAAATTTAAGATGGTTAATTTTATTTTCATTTTTTATAAAATTAGATTTTTTTATACAAATTATTAGAGATCATATAGATCGAATAAAGATTATTAGAGTTCTAACTTTGATCTCATAGTTAAAATTTTTATTATATTTTTAATTAATTTAAAATTTTATGTACATGATTAATATATATTTTCAAAATCAGAGGAAAAAATGGATAAACTCGATGGAGAAAGTATAAGTATAATAAATCAAATTCGAATTGATATAATATTAAATTCAAACTCGTGTTTAACTCAAAATTCATGATTCAAATCTCAACTCGAACTAAATTTTTATTTTTTTTAAATTGAACTCAATTAAAAAAAAATTATACTCGAATTCGTTCGATTAAATTCATTTAATATATAAAAATAAACTTAATTATTATATTTAATAAAAACTCGATTATTTGAATTTAAATTCAACTTGAATTTAAAATATTTTATTAATTAAAATAATTAAAATATATTAAAATATAAAAATTCGATTAAACTCACGAACTACTCGAATCAATTATAAAATACTCGATCTCGACTCGATCGATAAGTTAAACTATTCGAACTAAAATTTGATTCGATAATAATCAAACCGAATTCGAATTTTATTCAAATTAAACTAAGTAACTTGCAAGTATTATGCATCATTACATTCCTAGGATGGGACAGAAGAGGTAAAAATTAACATGAATAATGTGTTTATTTTCTTGCTCTTTATTTTTTCCAATTACAATATTCATATAATAAACAATTAAGGACATTGATTTAAAACATAATAATATTACAATTGCTACACAGGAGTCAAATGCCTCTTAAACCTGTATAAAGTGTTTCAAAATTGGTTTGAGATCATCAAAAACAAACCTTCAAGATCTCCTGACAACAGCAGTGGCAAAGAATGGATGATGGCTGAACTCAAAAGAAACCTTAAGTGATGGGTCAAGAGCTCCTAGCCGACAAATGAGATTTAGAGCAACACTGTTGTGTTCTGCAACCTGCTCTAGCTTTCGCAGTTCAGCCAATCTGTCTGGATCATTGGAAAAACTACTCTTCACCTCCTTTGCAATCCTCTGAGCATCTTTGAAGTAATTATACATAACTAGCGTCTGGATAGAAAGTAACTAAGTTATGTTTGAAGTGAGAGAAGATGTGAAATCCAATGCATGAAACAGAGAAAGAGAATCCGGGGGTGGGGGCAGAGCATACTCACAGAAAAGCGAGCATGAGTTGTTGATTCCTTGAATGATAGGTACGACGCGTGATCAGGAATGCAGGCTCTTTGTAAAAGCTCAAAATGCTGAACGAATTTCTGGATAGAAGTTAACATGGGTGAGAACATAGGATGATGCAATTGATGAAAATAGCTAGAAGAGTATCATAGAAGACGCTCTCAAGGTAACAAGGTGAACTTCTAATTCAAAGTCTTCTGGGGTTACACCGTTCATCAGTTCAAAACTGAAACATCAGGTAATGCCACCATGATTACACCTTATAATCTTTTTTGCTATGTGTGTAAATGTGTGTGCATGCGTGTGAATGCATGTTTAGGGAGGAAACTCGATACTCCACCTCCTGCTCGGTATTAAAGGGGCTTGGACTCTGTAGGATCATGAATTCATTCCTCAAAGCAGCAAGCATCTGGAAAGAGACTGAACAAATTAATAAAGAGCATAAGTTGACAACATTTAAGCAAAACATTCAAATGAGAGATGAGCAGCATCTGCAGGTTAGATATACATGTTCAACATAATTTTTAATTAAATCAAACTTCTTTTCAGAAATCTGCACTTTAGACAAAAATGACAATAATACAACACAGGCTTTAGACTAGACGACTGTTTCCACTAACAATAGGGTAAAACATGGCAATTTACAAATAAAACAAGCGCTGTTACCATTGTAAGTCCTTCAGCAAGACATATATAGCATTGAAGGAACAAGACTGCTGGTGGGATGCGAGATTCCCTAACCAAATCTTTAGGAGAATCCCTTTTCTTCTTTCCCTTCCGTTTAGCTGATCATTACACATAAAATTAATTCATAAGCAATGATGTGAAAATTATATAAAGAAAGAAAATTAGTATAATCATATTTTCAGATTTATCCATCCATACATTTTTTTCCATGAGAAAATTAAACAAATCTACATGTGCCTTATAGACAATCTCATAGCAACAAAAGGGTACCAAGGAACAGTTACCAGTGTCATAGCTGACAGCCATCTTAAGATGAGTTTTCTCTGCAAGCTTGATTAAGACAGCATATGAATACCAATATACCATGCAGTATTCGCTGGCAGAATAGAGTTCCAATTCAAAACCCAACATGAGAAATCGACAAGCTATCCAGTAAGTTTGCTCTTCCACCCAAATGAGGATATGTTGGAATATTTTCATACATATGTTCTGCAAACCCAAGGAAAATTTTGTCAAACTTTTGATGCTAGGTGGAAAACAGAAAGCTTGAGGAGGAGATATAAGGATGTTGATAAAAAAGGTGTCCCATTAATAGTCCAACGGAAACATGGAACATTGTAACAAAAATAGTGAAAATTAAAAAGATTGATGTCATGTATTCCTTTGTCCTTGTAGGCAAAGCTGCTACTGCTTCCTTACGTCAACACAATATTGCTAGCAAGTATTATTCCAGTTAATACTAGCTAATAGGACTAAACTACATATCCCGATCTGCTCACACTGAAAACATTAAGGGTATTTTTATTTGTCTTCTGTAAATAATAAAATTTTAAAAAGAGGTTTTTCTTTTAGAATAGTTAAAAAAAGCAGTGTTCCTTAAAGAATACTTTTTCTCAGATATTAAGTTTCAAATATTAAATTTAGGTTCATTATTGTTATTAACCTTCAACTTTTGCTCCAGAAATCAAAGCAAGAAAATTAAATGTTGATGAAAAGCCTACAATTTATTTCATTGTAGAAGTTCTAAAGCATGAACTTTGCCAAATGTTATGCTAGTAGATTCTAGCCCATTAGAATTAATTTGACTATTAATTTGATATGCTAGTAGATTTGTTAATTGTAAACCATAAGGAAAAAAGGAAGAAAAGAAAAGAAAGAGCAACACCTCATCATTTGAACTGCTTGAGACTTCTCCAAACTCGTTTCTTAAAGCAAGCTCAAGCTGTTAAACAAAAAACACAAAACAAGAAAGTCAAGTTTAAAAGCAATTGAGGCATGTGGCCCATCAAATCAACAAAACAGCTAGATTTACTCAATAAGTTGCTGAAGTTTTACGAAGGCAAAAGTGTGCATGCATAAGGCAGGGTAAGATACCACAGAAGAAAAGAATTCCTGTTTTCATGTTTTTTTATTTCTGGAGTGGAAGAGGAGGTAAAGGGGGTGCTTTTGAAGAAGCGTTCACTAATTTTAAAAATATTCAACAATTAAAAAAAAAGGAAAATAGTTCAGGAAATTATGTTTGCAAATAATGCAACATTGAGGACTACTTAGTCCTCAATTATGTCACTGGTGAAGGTAGGAGGCATCCAATGTTAAGTCACAAGAAAAACAAATAGCCAAGGAAATTAGGTTCAAGAAATTTAAAATCGAATCATACAGATGGGCAAATATGTACCAAGGAAGATCAGATGAGTTAGAGAAGACAGCAACAATGCAATGATTTGCATTTGGAACTCTGACATGATTCGTACCTGTAGATAAATAACACGCCAATCTTGCAAAATTTTCCCAAGCTTACGCCTCTGCCAGGCAGCATTTGTACAAAGTATTTTGAGCAAATTCATTACCAACTGCAATATATAATAGCACTGCACATACATTAGATAAAAGCACTTTGAACAAGAGACAAAATGGTACTAAAAGCTGTTATTCAGGCATTACAGCAGCACACCAAAAGAATCTTATCTGCCATGAAAATTAATCCAGGTTTAGATAACTACCACCACATTTTCCAAAGCTTGGTAGAAATTACTCATATTTTGACATTCAAACTTAAAATTGTGATCAAGACAGTTGCCTTATGTTCTAACTCCAAAAAATAGAGATGCATGAATGCATATACCATCTCAAAAAGATAGAATTCATAGAGAATATTATTATAAAAATGTACCAGAAAACAACAGTGAAATGAATAGCATAAATGATAATTGTCATAACTTGTCCTAGTTGCAAAATAGATTCATTCTTCTGAATATCATGGTTTTTGGTGGCTTCAGGCAATGCAGCAGCTTTAGTTATTACAGCAAAAATAGGATCACGTCCATATAGTTTCCCATCTTGAACCAGTAGAAGCTGTTTAACAATATTGAAAAGGTTAAGAATCTGAAGATATGATGTTAAAAAACATGTAGCTTGAATTGAGCAAGAAACAAGATTCGACCAACATTGCATTCTAAACTGTTTATTCTCAAATTTTGACCATTAACCATTAACAAGTACACAATAGCATTTTTGTGATGCGTAGTAAACATCCATCGCACTTTGTTCTGCGTTCTTCAAAAAGAGGGGGATAAAACACTGCAGTACAACAGTCAATTAATTTCTTTATGTGCTGGACTTGTGTCTTGGTTCTGCTATCTAACTCCTCTGAAGTGCAGAGACAATGCTTAATGAGTGAAACTTCCATGTTTTGATAAGTGATGCCTTATGTTAAAACATTTATTGAGACATCCTCATTACATGAAGCAAAAGAGGGAATAATGGGACCTCAAGAAGGTAACTAACTCCACATACAAGCAGTATCATATGTATAGTTGACTAGAGGAGCTCAACGGATAGCAGAAGCCTAACTGTCCAAATGAAGGGTTGGATGATGAATCAGATCAAATGACACAGACAGTTGTCCAATCACAAAAACAATGAAGCCTAAAAAGTCTGACCTGCAAATGAGATCGTGCTACTAAATCAGGTTGAGACTTCTGGAACTGAACCACAAAACGCAGAAGATTTTCTAAATGAGGATCCAATGAGTAAGAGCAGATAACATCTAGATCATGAAGAAGTTTTACAAAATATTCAACAGCCTGCCAAAGCACCAAGAGAAAATATTACAATAACAAAAGTAGATTCAAAAAAATCAAAATTAAATTGCACAAATTCTAACCTTTTTCCAACTAAGAATTTTAATTGCACGTGGTGGTGTGGGGGCAGATAATCTACTATTTAACGAAGCATCAAACCCAATTGGTTCACGACCAGAAGCTGTTGTTTTGTCATCTATATCATCTTCACAAGATTCACCTGAACAAGACTGCAGAAACTCTGCTGATTTGAGGATGAACTCTAGCTCCGATATGCAGGAAGCTATATGTTTTCTTGCCAATTCCAAGCCTCTCCCCTGGGGTCGCTTCATACATGTAAGAACATGGAAAAAATGCTGAGAGCAAAAAAAAATCAGTGAAAATTATAGTACAATCATGAATATGTTTGTCAGAATAGATAAGAATGCCACAGAGTGATAGAAGAAAACACCAAATAGATTGTTGACAATCAAGGCTTGAAAAACAATCTACATAACATATTCCATATTTGAAGACATAGCCTCTTAATATATTGACCCATTTTAATAACTGTCATTTTCAAATTAGGAAAAAAGACATAACTTATTGAAATTTGCAGGTTGTATGCAATCAACAATCTAAGCATAGACAGTCAAGCAAACAAACAATTACTGGAAAGGAGATCCATTAAAGAAATAAACTTAATGCTTGCAACTCTTCTAACAAAAGCACAACCATGGACAGACAGATGTCTTCTTCTTAACAGAAATTATAAAAGAGTAACACAGCTTAAGACCTTACGAAAACGTAAGCGACACAACAAAGCTTTGCAGAATCCTTCTTCCAGATTGGGATTGTACTGCAATGGCTCTAAATCTGCATCAATATAGCCACTTGATTATATAAAAATACTATTTTAATTATCTTTAAGAAATAATTTATAATAGAAGTTGACAGTCAATGAAGCTAAGAAACAAGTGAAATGCACAAATGAGAAGAAACAGGTACAAGGCAATTCCTTTTAACAGTAGCCCATTAGTGCTGAAATGACTAGGTAATGCATAAATCTTTCTATTTGGAATCCAAAAGAAAAAGATCAAGTTCAGTCCAATCTTTAGATTACCCAGCCTACCTTTCAGATGACATCTTAACCAGGACAAGAAATTTTACTATTTTTCTTGTGAATCATTTAAAACATTCCCCTCATTAGAATATGACATCTACATTTATAAAGAGGCAAATCACAAGAAAATTTGTCTTAGCAGAGACCAAAAACAAAGGCACTTGCGGTTATGAGATTTCAGATGAAAGCTTAAGAATACCAATTGTGAGAAAAACTATAAAGAGCTTACAGCAATAATTCAGATCTAGCTGACTTCTCTAAGAAAGAATCATCCTGCCTCTAAGCAGATGCATAATCAATTGCAAGAAAGAGTTAAAAGCACAAGAGAGCATGCTGACCGAAGAAAATTAGGACAAGGTGATGATGATTTACAATGTAATTTTCCAGATATGAGGCTTCCCTCAGTAAAGAAATAAAGAAAAGCTTAGGCAAATGATGAGATAACTACCCTCTGATACCCTTCTTTTTGATGATGTAGCTTTACATGCACGCAACTGGCGAGATATCGTCTCTTCGACAGCATTCAACATTGACAAGCACTTCTCATCTCCATCCCCATTTAAAGGAAGACCATATGTCATTGTAAAAAGATCCTCCTCCTGTCAAATGAATGTGTTCACTACTGACCATATAGTTTTAATCAAAATATGCGATAATATTTTGAAATGAAGAGCAATTTTACAAGAAGTACCCTGAACTAGTTCTCATTTACCTAGCCCACCCTTTTCTTCACACCCCAAATTTTTTTTGAGTGGGAAGAATACAAGTACCAATTATTTTGTTAAATAAAGTTTGTTTCATTTGATACCTTCAATATCAGAACTAGAAGAAAACTTCAGAATAATTATTAATATTAATCTTAATCCTAAAAACAGCTTATGGATATGTCATCCACAATGATTTTGCTTCAGAATAATGTGAAAATTGGAATGTATGAATTTTTTCCTTGCAAATGAAAAGAGGAAATAAGAGTTGTTGGAATACTTTACTTCATGTGTACGGGCATCTGAAACAACCGACAGAACTGCCTTGCAGGTTGCACGTATAACTCTGCCATAAGAATGCAATAAGGCATGTGAGGCTGTCCTATCAAGCCTCAAAAGATAGATGCATGAAAAGACAGTTTGCGCCAAGGAATGACCCTTATGCCATGCCGCCTGCCATGAAATACTACAATTTAGATAAAAGAAGAGAAGCAGAACAAGTAGGGGGCTATGTGGTATAGACACAAACATGAAATACATAAAGAACAAGCATAAATATAAACTCATTATTCAATGAAGCAGTTAAATTTTCATCTATTATTTTCCTTTATGGGATAAGCCTTAAAGGCACGAAAAATGAGAAAAGAAATTTCATTCCATGCACACGATGCCTATTTTGGAAGCATCTAGGACATTTTGAAACGGACGAAACAAATCCCAGGCTAATCAAAACAGCCACAAATTTGCTATATAGAGCAACAACAAATTGAAATGAGAATGAATAAGTTAATACCTCACAAGCTAGAAGATGGTCCATGATATCAATAGTGCATTGGACATCAATAGTGCTGTCAAGGCTAATAGGAACTGGTGCAGCACCATTTTCAATGGCCTCATCAATAGAATAGTATCTACAAACAATACCTGAATCCATCTTTGGATCCATTATCTAATAAAAAAAAACAAAAATTTGTCAATGAAGGTCAAAAAACTATATAATTCAACCACAAAAAATAGATAGGAAACATTATAAGGAAAAACTTAGCATATATAAACAAGAAAAAGAAAGTCAAATAAAAACATATTAAATGGGAGTATTTCTTATTTATGTCAGATTCATTTAAGTAACACTTCACTTGAAGTTCAAGTTTTGGATCATGCATGTAAGTGACCATTGCAATTTGCAACACACCCTCATTTGGAAATATGTTAATAGCACACATTCCCCCAAGAAACAAATTAAGTTGTCAAAGCAGAAGTTGCAATAAAAAGATCATAAGTACCATCTTAAGTAAGAAAATGATAACTTCCAACCCAAGAACAAAATTAGAAAAGACATCACATTAAGATTGATCAAGAATCAACAAGTTGCAATACCTCTAAAGCAGACATGGCAGCAAAAAGATTGAAATTATCCCCATGAATGAGCTCTCCATATCTAAGACCTGTGATCACCCAACATTGCAAAAGAGTTAAGTGGCAATGTGAAAGCCAGAAAAGGAAATTAAAAAAATATATATAAGGCTGTTATCACTTGAAAACACCCACATTTTCACCCCATATTTTGCAGAGCTTACAACAGCAATGATAAGATTTATAGTTAATAAAAAAATAATGACAATACAGGTTTTTCATTTATGTGATCACCAAAAAAATGATAGGAAAAGGCAATGACTTGAATTTCATAATGCCAATACCTTCTATTTTTCCATAGCTATCATCTCTACTACCAAAACAATAACTTTCCACCCTTCAGTTACTAAATAAACGAAAAAGGAAAAAAAACAAAAACTTTTTATTCATACAAATAAACCCTAGTGTTTAGCAATCCACTGTTAGATATTCAATTAAAAAACTTAGAAGAAAATAGCAAAATAAAACAAAGAAAAAAAGACAACAAAAAGATTTTCCTTTTGTCTCCTTTCCTTTTTGACTCTTTTTCACCAACCAAACAGAGGTTTAAGGAGGGACAAAAGAGAGAGAGGGAGAGAGATTGAACCTATGCAGGCGGCGTCGAGGAGAGGCGAAGCGTCGGCCCAGACAGTGTTGTCGGTGACAGGAATGGAGGTAGGTTTCGGTGCTTGGCCGTCCATGGAGGCTTCTTCTGAAACTGCCTTATCAGCCATTGGTTTTTGAGTTTTTTATTTTTATTTTTTGAATTTGTGAATGGTTTGTGCAGCTGCGGAACAGAAAATTAAATAGTGAGGCCCTTGGCTTTGGTCGATGTCTTGTCTTGAGTCTTGACTATGCTCTTCGCTTTTCAGTCTACGCTTGGCTTTGCAACAAGAATCCTCGCAAACGGACACAACCGAGATAGGGTTTAGGCCTTAGGGCATCTTTGGGTCGGGCCGGATCCCCGCTTCACTCACCTTGGTCCATCTCAATAATTTCTTGTAATATTTTTTTACTATATTATTAGTTAGCACAAAATTACATGTATATATAATTAAAAAAATAATATCACAAATAATCTTTAAATTATAATAAAATAGTAAATCTATTAATTAATTTAATATTAAAAAAAATTATTTATCATCATCATTTAAAACTATCCCAATCATGATCAGAGACCACAAAAATATGGCTCCCTCCCTTCCTCTGGTTCTATTCCAATATGGGTACCTTTCGGCTGCAACTATGATGTTTTTAGCAATATCCTTACCAAACGATCACAATCGTATGTGGTGATGGGTTGGTGTTTTTAACAATGTGTCCTACGAAGAATTCATGGGCCTAATTTGGCCTTTAGGCCACTCCATTTCGTCTATGAACTGACCCTCGATTCATGGATGTGTTTCATGGACCCATTGTGGACTAAGGATTTTTCTCCTTCCTCATAGGCCCATATCTTAAATCCAAAACGGGCAGACAAAAGATTAAAAAAAAAAAAAAACAACAACAACAATACATGAATGTTACTCACAGTCACATGACTTAATTAAACAAACGTACTGTGATGCATAAATTTTTAACAGCTATGCCGGTCGCGCCACTCCAAAAATACAAGAGAAGCACCATAATGAGCCAACGCTCCCATCACTACCAGAATGTGAAATATTTGATGACTATGCCCTGCTAAGTCGAACCATCCAGGCTTCAACTTCTCTGGAATTCGGCTAACATAGAACATGGCCCCTGTCAAGTAGAATATAGCCATGGCAGACTCGTAGGCCAGAGTGATGTTGCGACACGGATTAGACCAGTTGACAATTGCAGAATGGATTCCAGGGGCAATGCCAAAGAGCCCCATTAAAGAAAAGAGTAAAGCTCGAAATGCACGATATTTACCCGTTGACAAAGTTGGTGATAGCAGTGTTACAATGGTGAACAAACCTAGAGCTGTGATTCCACCAAGGTAGACTAACTGCCATTGTCGATCACATTGAAAAATGTAGTAGATTGGCGGAAAATATGATGTGATGATCATGGTAGCAATCCCGGTATAGTCTATTCGCAACAATGTAAGGTTTAGATGGTGTGAATGGCAAGAAAAGAGGTGGCAAATGCTGCTTGATAGGAGGCAGAACATGGAGCCGCCTAAGAACACATATAATGGCCACAGTGTAACAGGCGTCACCGGAAGGGCAATATCCAATCCCGGAGTTGGTGTTATTCGCTTCAAATCAATGACATTTGTTGTCCCCTGCAATTCTCCAAATCAGCTCCATGGCATAACTAATTAAATTAAAAAAGATAAAGTGAAAAGGAGGCATAACCGAGATATAATCAATAATCAATGAATAAATGCCATGGGGGCATACTCACCAGAAAGAGGTCTCTGGAATCATGAGAAACATTGGTGTCGCCACTAATTGGAAAACACCTGCACCAATTGTATAACACAAATTTTTTATGTACGACAAGGGAAATTAATGCTCATATTGAATTTTTAATTTTAATTGTAAGAATTCAAATATAAAAAAACAGAACCTGACAAAGAAGATAATGAGATTCGATACTTGTGGCACTTTCATGAAATTCGCCATGGTCAATCCAAAAAATAGAACAAACCCAAGTAAATGCCTAGAGAGTCCAACACAAAACCGAAATTGAATTAGAAAAATACCAAGGACTGAAAATTTTTCTAAGAAATGAATCAAAGAAACTACACAGAAATCAAAACAAACGATCATATGAAAAAATCATGAAACTTTGTTTTTTTTTTTTTTCCAACATACGTCCAAACATTAAGTGTTTCGTTATGCCAACGAAAGATGCTAAAGAGAGCTTCCTTGAGAGACCAATTAGCCCTGTAATAATCCAGTATAAACTCATTGTCCTTCATGTACTCAGGCAACTCCTTGTAAGACACCAAAGCAATCGACCGTCTTTTAGCCTTGTTCGAGCCGTGATCATCATCGTCATCACCTCTTTTTCTGTTTTTCATCTCAACAGGTTGAGAAACAAGCCTGGAATCGAGTGTCGAATCCATCTTTCTGTTTTTTCTCTTCAAAACAACAGCTTGATCTTCAATAATATAGAAGTCATGGCCAAAAACCCTGACAGATACTTATAATTAAAGAGGAGCTGAATGATGAAAAAGAAAGCTGGATGGCAGATAGCTAACTACACCAACTGCAACATTTAAAGGGGAGAAAACCCTGTCTAAAGCTTAGCCCTTTTTTTTTTTTGTATGCAATACAAAACCAAAGCTTGTGCAAAGGAAACAAGGGGGGAAGAGTCGCTGGTAGGTCATCAATAAATATTTTGGCTTTTTTTAGAGATAATAATGAGAAAATGGGATACTCAAAAAACCAGCCAATTATTTGATTGAGTTTCGAACTTTTGAACAAGCAAAAATAAAATAAAAGTTACCCTTTGATTGTGTTCCCTTTCAAGAATTAAATTAAGTGGTAAAATTTTCAACATGCGGATGGATTGATATTTGATAGGTAGGTATGGTATCACATCTCTAGTTGAAACTTGAAAGGAACATTTTTTGAGGATTATTCTTTTGGACACGGTCTACATCATTTGTTAAGATTTTTATATAACTAACATTTAATTACATAATATACACATTGTTCTAACTAACATTTAACCAATTATACACATAAATTTTAATATTATGTAAATAAATTTAAAACACATATCTCATTTAAAGAAAAAAGCTTCGAACCAATCAATTCTTTGAGCACAACATAAAATTTATTACAACAAAACGGTATGATTATCGATTTTTTTTAGTATGAAATCTCGTGTTAGTATCAAAACATGAGATATTTTGCAATTAATTTAAAGACATAAAATAAGCATATTATCATTCTATTCCCTAATTAACCAATATATAAATGTGAAAATAGGACTAATTTAGAGCAATCCACAATTTTGTGCATGAAGCACAGCACCTCATCATGAACAATAATATCCATTCTATTTTTTTTTTTTTTATATATGCAAATGTGCTCATTCAATTTTAAATCTAAATATTAGCTAGAAAATTAGGCAACCGTCCTTTTCCTCAGAGGGACAGGTGGCCTACCGCAAGACCGTTGATTTCTTTTGCTTTGGTTTTCTCGTTAGGCCTTCTAGAACAGAGATTTCTTGTCTGAGCAATAACTTGTTAAGCTGAACACAACAGTTGTTTATTTTCTTTATTTTTTGTTTATTTTTTATGGAAAAAGAAAGGACAGTGTGATAGGTGACAGGAGCTCTGGTGTGAATCTTGAATGGATGGGAGGCATGACTGGTTTTCTAGCTTTTAAGGAAAATTTCCAAGGAATCACGGACATCAGAGCTCGTGCAATCTTGAGATGTCTGAATAATGTTGGGGCTGTCAACGGGCAAGACATCGGAGAGTGGATAATTTCTGTTCACATGCAATTGATTGCTTGCACTGCTGCAGATTCCCTTCAATATTACACTTCTATGCATCCCACCAAGCAACCCTTCATAATCTGTATCCCCAGAGTCTCCAACAAAAACCACCATCTTTGACAGGTCAATGCCCCACCGAACATACAAATACCTGAAATGTGTTTGGAATCATTGAATTGAAACATTGTTAACAGCTGAATTCTCAATGGTCAAAGAAGAAAACAACTGTTTTGAGTAATGAAAATTATCATAAAGACTATGTTCTATTGAGAAGGGTTTGTGGGTTTGGCTAATCACAGCTTCCTTTCTTGCTGGATGGTTATGAAGATTGAATTACCCGTGTTTTATGATGTGTAAAATGGACAACCATGGAAGTCAAGGCAATATTTTAAGAGAAGAATCATTATAGCATTAATACATGAACATAAAAACTGCACCTGAGGGCTTGGGAACGAGATGCCAACAGTGGAATTACGTTTATCCTGGCTCCATTTTGACAATAAATAACATTACAACGGAGAGCTTGAATTCTCAGCAACTTCCGGAGCTCCTTAACAGGGGGAACCTGAGAAGAGCATAAACATAAAATAGGTGTTTCCCATGATATCGAAAACAAAAAAAAAAAAAATCATAAACATATGTGAACATATAATCGCAGGCTAAACATGTTAGAAATATAAACTAGAATTCATCATTATTTGATTATAAATTCATGTGCTAGTCAGTGGTATGATGAAAGAAAATTTACCATTCCTGCATTTTTCACTTCAAAAGCATAACAGTAATTGGTTGAAAGTTGTTCAGCTGCAGTAACAATCTGCTCCTCATTCCCTGCCTTCTTATCACTAATTGATCCCGCCCAACGGACCAAAGTCTTTCTCAATCCTTCCCCACCCCAACGATATTAAATGTGTGAGTGGTAATAGAAGTCAATTACAAAGGGACCATCTTCAGGATTAATAGTTGAATAGAAGAGGTCACTACCGCTGTTGCAGATGAAAGCATCAAAATCATTAGCGTTCAAGGCTCCGGAGATCAGAAAAGAGTGTATCTCGGATATTGTCATGAATGTTGACAATATAAAACCTATAGAGCCTTCAACCCTTTCTTTTTCCACAGCCTCAAAAATCTTTCTGATGGCATCAAGAAGATCTTCATTGGAATCACAGTCTATGGCAATGACAAAGATATGTTTCCTCTTCCTTAATGCTGGAAACTTTCCTGTGCTGGAACTATGGTCTGCTCTGTCTCCAGATCCAGCTTTCCTTTGATCTTTTAAAACACCTCTTGACCACGATAAAACGGCATTCTCTAACTTACTCTTTCTGTCAGCATTTCCTTCAGAATCTAAAGAATTATCATTTCCACTAGCTCCACTCCTATCTCCATCCATAGAAAACTTCAGGTTCAAAGAAATATCCTGTATATCTCTCAAGGAATCACTTGGTGAATCAGATTCTGAAGTTTCAGCTCCATCATCACTCCTTTGCCACTGTGGATGCCTTGGTTTGCAACTGGCAATTCGAGATAAGTAAGTTTTACAGTGCTCTGGCCATGAAAATAGGTGAATGTTCTTCAAACCATTTTGACGACACCTTGCCCAGAGCTGCTTGTCTGCAACAAGCTTTAGAAGAGCATCAGCAATAGACTGCTGATCATGAGGATCAACAAGAAGACCATTGTCAAGAACCTGCAAAACATCTCATATTGATTTTCAAAACTGTGATTCAAACTTAGGATTCTCATGTATGCTTGTAATTCTATGATGTACAGGAAACAAATTCCAACTGGTGAGTCATACCCGATGTATATCAACAGGACCTCCATTTTTGGTGGCAACAATAGGCAAACCATGAGCTGCAGCCTGCAACAAAAGAGCCGAGGTCATATATGGTTCAGAACTCAGATGAAATAAATGAACTATTTATAACCTATTTTACAAAGCACCTCGATCAAAGTAAGCCCAAATGGTTCAATAAAAGCTGGATTAATGAAAACACCCTGCACAAGAAAAGTGGATCAGAAACAGACATATGCAAATAATATTGAGAGAGAGAGAGAGAGAGAGAGTTATGAGAGATTACAACAATTTTAGAAGATATTGTGGGTGAGAAATAACAACCAAAGAATCAGAAAGAATTATTAGACACACAAAGCAAGTGTCTCAATGATGGCATAACAAAACTACACCAAGTCATATAAATCCTCAATGTAAGGCAAAAAGACAGATGTTTCATCATCTAAAAATAAATGCTATATGTGTGTGTGTGTGTAAAGAGGAAGTGTTACAATACAAGCACTAATTGAACATAGATATCGACTGCAATAACATATTCCTTTCAAAAAAAAATTTAGAATATAAGAAGTACGTAGTCATTAAAACACATTTTGGCACTTGGAACTTGGCAAGAGTTTTGAAACAAGAAAGAGACAAAACAGAAAAGGCAATTTCAAAGCATGTATACTGCAATGGAAGCAAACCAAATCATCAAATCATCTAAGGAGTTAATGTAAAACATATGCTACACAAATTACCTTTGTCTTTGCAGCTAGTCTGTAAATGTCAGGAACCTCAAACTGTTTATGGTGTTTAGGATATGCTACTTGTCCATAAAGATCATATTTGTCAATAAGCTTAAGTACTGAGAGAAGAACAGAAGCATTTGTGCTTGACATTTCATCAATTCCATCTCGGTTCCCCATGATTAGTGTCTGTGGAGCAGCAAAGAAAGAAAAAAGAAGAATTAAATGAAAGCAGCAGTAAAATTGCTTCAGCTTTTCAGCACAAGCAAGAAAAAACTTATTACAAAAGAACTGTCAGTAAAAATGCAGAAGCTGTATTCATCAACCAATTCTCATTAGTTATTCAAACATACAAGGTTTGCAAGCTCTCGTAGTGGACGGCATTCTCCAAACGCTTTGACCAATGTTGTGATGTTCTTTTTAGGATCTGGTCTAGCAAGGGCAAGTATCATAGGCTTTCGAGGATTGGAGAAGAAGCGCATTATCTACAAAATACCAAGTTCAGAACCAGTATCAATTTTAAAGGTAGCAAAAGATACAGTAGCATATCTTTGGCTTTGGGCACGTTAAGATGAAGCACTTTGTGGTAAATGCATAAGGACAGATTTGAACCTCGGACCAGATAGGAGGATCGGGGGAAGATGGATGCTCTTCATTTCCTTCTGTTTCACCATCCATATCACCATCATGCGGAACAATATGATGGAATTCCATTCCAGGAGGAATTATCTGTACAAAAAGACAGATTATAATCAGCATTCTATGACCTAGCAATAGAAGAAACGAGACCATGCCAGGCCTGGCCAAGCTCATGAAATAACACACACTAGCCATGCAATACTATCCATAAGCCAAGCTCCAATGCTGGGTAGGTGCACCAGATTTTGAAAGCACTATTTGACACCAATGAAAGCACCTAGCAAAGTACATAATATTCCAGAACTTACAACCATGCGAGGCATGAACCTTCCATAGCAGCTAACATTGCGCCTGATCCTTGCTCGCAGTTTACGCTCTAGGACTGGATCAAAACCATCATATAAACGCCACTGCTCATCTATTTCCTGTTTAGTACTGGTTATGACTATTTCAGAGGTATCAAGAGATAATTCTTCAGCCTCTATTCGGCGCATGATTTTGTATGTTGTATTTATTTCATCCCTTGATAAGCGGCCCTGCTTTAAAAGTTGTTCCAACTTATCTCGTCCAAGCGAGTGGCCAGTAAAAAGCATTGGTACATTTAAAGCACCAGATAGAAGAGCAGCAGAGTCACCGGCATCTGCATAATGTCCATGGATGGCTACTGGCCAGACTGGTTTCCCGCTACCAATTTGCTCACCTAGAACATTGGACATCTGTATTATGTGGCTAAGTGCACCATCAACAAATTCAGGGATGTAAGGCCACAGAAGTTCTTTCGGAATATATTTATCCCTAGGACCAAATGGTATTCGGACAATATAAGCACCACTGCTCTCTCCCATCTCATCCATAAAATCTTCTGAATTTCTTGGTGTCAGCATCTCTGTGGGTTCACCATAGCTCCAATCTAC